CTTAGGCAGCTACGCTAAAAGTGAGAGACATATGCCTGTGTATGTGTGTGTGTGTGTGTGCGCGCGCAGATGCTTCTGCGCATGAGAGACATGCACGCCATTTAACATTCAACTGCACCTGAAGAGTGAAGGGAATAATTTATCTCAACCTTTTTATTGCTGCAGGTCGACTTTTATATTCTTTTTTTTTTTTCTTGTTTTGTATTTTATTATTGATTGCACACATACTCGCTGATTTTTCTTCCTGGTGCATTTGGTTCGGCTGTTGATGGCAATGATGTTTGCTACTGTGTTTTTCGCATTGTTTCTTTGCATAGGCGAAAGGAAAAGCGGGGGAGTAAAAAGAAAACATCATAGACCGATGAAGCGTCAGAGAAGCCTTCTCGACTTCTTTCCTAAGCGACGGGTGACGCCGCTGGCTGTTGTTGTTGCTGCCGCTGCTCCCGCTGCTCCCGCTGCTCCCGCCGCCCCAGGGGCTGAAAACGAGGAAATAGACGAACCACCGCCGCTGGCGTCAGCACGAAGCAAAATAACTACTCCTCAGGTTGTGTCAAGCAGTTGTGGCCGCGTCGCAGTTTTACCGACGGACGCGACAGAAAGCCTAGACGGCAGTGCAACGAATTTTTTCCACACGTCGTTGTGTTGCTTGGACACACCGCGGCGTACGCAGGCAACGGTCCAAACTTTTTTGGACTTTGGCCAAGACAATGCAGGTGGAACGATGAAATGCAGCCTATGTGGAATGTTTTTTAACTTTACGGTGACGGAAGACATTCGGATACATGAACGCTGCTGCACCGCATTGTTATCTGGTAAGAGTAGTGCGAGCACGAAGGGGAAACAACGTGCAGATGACCTCGAAGCATGGCTTGTCTCTGCACAGCTTGGAAAGACGTTGGAGGGGTTCGTCCAGCCAAAGCGACGCGGCCAAGCTGTGAAGGAGAGGCTGCGGAAGTGCACCAACGGAGAGTTCTGTACCAGGGTACAGGAATCGTCGAACAAGGAGCTTGTCCTCTATGTATTTGATGGTAGCAAGCAGGATTGTGTGAAGGACGTGGTATTCCGCCGGCTCGTGGAGGCACTTGAGTTTTCAGAGGTTATGTTGTCCGCTGCGGCGTACTCTCTTGTGGCGGTGGTGCACTGTCACACCGGGCGTCTCTTGTGCGCCGTTGCAGGAAAACCCTCAACACGGGAGCAGGACCCCGTCCTTACCTTGGGGAAGAGTGAGTGTTGTACCGTGACGCGTTGTCACACACGACCGTGTGTGACATTTTGTGACGTGCCGTACGTGTGGTGTCAGCGTGATGCAGCACTGGAGGCGATGACAGCAGATTGGTGGCACACAGATACGGTGGCTGCGCTGCAGCCGACACGTTTGGCGATTCAGGATTTCTTTCAATGCACCAAACAACAGGAGAAAAAGCAACAACGCCTTCACGCCCTTGTAGATACCGCACTACGCTGGGCTGTGACAACATTGGGTCGCCACGTTAGTTACGGACACACGCTTTGTCCACGGTCAGAGTTTTCATATGACTGTAATACCCTCTCTAGTGATGTACTGAGCCGCGTGGAGGTTGTCACGGCATGCATTAATGCGGCAGCGCCATTGTACACGCACACCGATGGTCATGATGCTTTTGGTGACTCTGACGCCGAGCTGTCTGTGGTGTCGTATGGCGAATGAGTGCCTGAGAGAGTTCTATAGAAAACGTTTTTTGTTCTTGTTTTTATCTTTAAACCCCTTGTTCCAACAGACGCCGTACGTTGTTGCCAGTGGAGGATGTGGCAGGGAAAAGGAAGCTGGTGGCGGTACATGCTTGTGTCTTCCGAGAGAGATAAGGAGCTAGAAAGTGAGATAGTTGAGTAAGGAGGCGAGGGACGACTGGTGAGGCTATTCGGCTTCAAGCAGTTAAGAAAAACTATTTTTTTTTTTGTTTCCTTTAATGACCCACTTCCTTTCCCGCTCCGCTTTTCCCATTTTTCGTTTTGCGTCGTTGCTTCTGTCTCTTGTGAGTTGCTTCCGCAGAATAAGCTTCTTAGCGAAGGGAGTGAAGGGGTGAAAGAAAGCGTTCGATGCCGTGACGGGCGATGACACGTGGCGTCCGCGAGAGGATACCACCGCCACCACCAGCACTTTCCAAGTAAGTGAAGTAAAGTGACAAGTGAAGGAAGTATCAGGAAGAGAAGACTTCTTTCCGTTTCCTCGTCTTTTTTTTCTTTTCTTCTGCCTCGCTGCACATGTACCTTCTCGGCGGTAGGCGTGGCGTCCCACGCGCCCCCCTTCAATGTTCTCTTCCCCCATTCCTTTCCTACATAACCCCCAGTTTCCCCGATAGTCAACACCTGTGAGCAAACCACACACCAACGAAGCAAAACAGCAACTCCTGTGACCTATTCGCACATACTTGTTGTTTTTATATTTTTATATAAACTTAACCCCCACACACCACAAACAGGGAGGTGGGTGGGCAGGCAAGAGCATCAGTACGCAGAGCGGCCACAGAGTAATCGGCTTCCCCCTCCCCTCACCACCTAAACGGCACCAGAGGGAGAAGTGTAAGGAGAAAACGCGGCACCTGCACACAGAGCAAAGATAAAATAAAAGGTAGGGACCTGGCAACTGCACCACTCGGAGACTGCACGAGACAGACATCAAGCAAACGTAATCAAGAAAAACGAAAAAAAAGACTATTTAAATTGTGATAGTCATTTAAAGATTTTTTTTCTTCCTTTTTCCTCGAAGGAGTGGCTCTATTATTGTTTGAGCCATGTATCAGGACCGTTGTATTTTCTTTTCCAAGATGGGTGCCTGTCGCCACGGGGATCACTGCACAAAAGTCCATGTGCGCCCAACGGCGTCTCCGACCGTTCTCTTTCCGATGATGTACCCGAATCCGATGGCAATCGAGCACATACAGGATCGTCAGTGGGACTTTCAGTTCGATCGCAAATATGTGAAGCGGCATTTTAAGCGCTTTTACAAGGAAACGTGGCGCATCTTCATGGAGCTAGGCCGGATTGCGGAGTTGCGTGTTGTGAGCAACCTTGGGGACCACCTCCTCGGGAACGTGTACATTCGCTTTGAAGACCCCGCCGACGCGTCCCGTGTTGCGCGGGACCTAAAAGCGAAGAAGTTCAACGAGATTATTCTTCTTCCAGAACTGAGCCCAGTCATCAACTTTGCTGACGCCTGCTGCAAGGAGGACCTGGAGGGGAAGTGTGGACGCGGGACACAGTGCAACTACCTGCACATTATTAAGGTTTCCCGCAAGCTGATGTCAAGGCTGGAGCGGGAGCAGGACAGTTACTGGAAAAAAAAAGATGATCATAGCAGCGGAAATGAGCGTAAGCGAGACCGCTCAAAGGAGCGCGGCAGGGATCGCTCCAGGTCGCCGCGACCGTACGCAAGCGATCTTTGCCACATATGCGGCAAGACGGGCCACATTTCGCGGGAATGTCCCCTGAAGTAGAGAGCGGGGAGGAAGGCTTGGCAGCAAGAAGAAGCGCAATGTTTACGCTCTGGGCGTATGCAGGGCTTTGTGGATGCATGCCATTTCCAAGGCACTTCAGTTCCCTTGAGGGTGACATTGCATGGATTATCATTGAACACTCTGGGAGGCTTTTTCACGGCCTTCCACACTTACATCTGCCTTTAGTGTTGTGTCATTGCTAAACAGATGATGATGATGATGCCGGATATATGAGAGGGGGCTTTAGTAACGCACGAGCCCGCCGAACTTTCCCTCTAAAAAACCTTTAGAAACAAACGGCAAGAAAAAAAGAAAAAAAAAGTAAAGAAGGTTCAACGGTTTGAGGAGAGGAGGGTTGTGTGGCTAACAACAATCGCGACAAGAACATGCGTTCTCATCCTCTACATATGTGTATACATGCATGTGATTCCTGTGTAAAATAGTAATAATAATAGTAATAGTAGTTATCTTCTTTCTGATCCTTTTTTTTTGTTACTTAATTAATGACCGTGAAGTCAAGGAAGAGATCAACAAGAACAACCAATAATATTAGTTGTGGTAGTAATCCGAGCGCTTTCACTAAGCAAGCAAACCAACAAACGAGATTATCATGCTGCGTCGCACGCTGTCATTTGCTTTTGCGTATGTGAAATGCCCCCCTATAGTGAATGAGCCGATGGACTCCTTCGAACCGGGAAGCCCCTCAGCAAATGGTACCCTGGAGGCCTGCAGTCGCTTGCGCCATAGCGTCGCGGACTGCCCGATTGTGATTGGGGGGAAAGAGTACCGCACAGAAAGCCTTATTCGTCGCATGATTCCGTCTAGTCACAAGCAACACCTTGCGACGTCGTACAATGCTACACCAGAGTTAGCGCAGAAGGCCGTTAACACCGCACTGGAGGCATCACGCGCGTGGAGCCAAACACCCTTCAGAGATCGTGCCGCCATCTTTCTTCATGCGGCCCACCTTATTTCGACCAAGTATCGCCATGAACTGCGGGCGGCGACGATGCTGGGGCAGAGTAAGAATCCTTTTCAGGCAGAAATCGACGTGATCGCTGAGGCATGTGACTTCCTGCGTTTTTCAGTGAAGTTTGCAGAAGATTTGTACCGCGATCAGCCTCTCTCCCCAAGCAGTGGCGCCATTTGGAACGGACTTGACTACCGCCCACTCGAGGGGTTTGTCTCAGCCATCGCACCATTTAACTTTTCTGCCATCGCCGTGAACCTTGTTGCCTGTCCTGCCTTGATGGGTAACGTTGTGCTGTGGAAGCCGTCGCCAAATGCGGTGCTCTCCAATTATTTACTGTATAAGGTGTTTGAGGAGGCGGGCTTGCCCGCGGGAGTGGTGAACTTTATGCCATGTGAGCCAGCCGTCATGACTGACATTGTTCACGCCCACCAAAACCTCGCCGGCGTCGCCTTCACCGGTTCCACAAAGGTGTTCATGGAGATTAACAAGCAAATCTACGCAAAGTTGGACGAGTACCGCAATATTCCGCGTATAAGTGGAGAATCGGGTGGGAAGGATTTTCATGTCATTCATCCAAGCGCTGATTTGAAGCTTGCGGCCGCCGTGACGATACGTGGCGCGTTTGAGTACCAAGGTCAGAAGTGCAGCGCTACCTCTCGTCTGTATGCCCCAAAGAGCCGATGGGGGGAGTTGAAGGGGTATCTGCTTGCTGCGCATGAACAGCTCAAGATGGGTCAACCAGATGACTTTAAGAGCTTCTTGTGTGCAGTTATTGATGAAGTTGCCTTTGAACGCAATAAAAAGTATATTGACATTGCTGCTGCAGATGCATCCGCATATTCTATTATTGCTGGCGGTTTATGCGACAAGTCAGAGGGCTGGTTTGTGCAGCCGACAATCATTGAATCAAAAAACAGTCAGTCAGAGCTGATGCGAGAAGAGATCTTTGGACCCATCTTAACAGTCTATGTTTATGATGACAGCAAGCCAGGGTTCTGGGCTGAGGTGTGTGAGGTCGTTAACAGCACCACAAAGTATGGACTCACTGGTAGCATCTTTGCGCAGGACCGGCAGGCGATCCGTGATGCGACGGGAAAGCATCTGCGTTACGCTGCGGGCAACTACTACATCAATGACAAATGTACCGGGGCGGTTGTAGGCCAGCAGCCATTTGGTGGTGCTCGTGCAAGTGGTTCAAATGACAAGCCAGGCAGTCCCCTCTTCTTGACCCGATGGGTCTCGGCACGTACTATCAAGGAAAACTTTGACCACAGTTCACAGGTCTCATATCCACACCAATTCCCAGACCACGTGGTTGTTTAGGAAACTAATGAATGAAGACGGGCAATACTGTGCGGCCAATATAAAAATTTTCTATTTGCGAGCCGTGTGTTTTGAAGGCCCATTATTGGGTTTCTTTGGGTGTTGGGTGTTGTATCGGTGGTGGGGATTTTTTAAATTTCTTTTATTTATTTATTTATTTATTTATTTTTTATGCAAATACACCTTTATTTTGATTAAATACATGACTGAAGAAAACGGAAGGAAAAGGGAGTACTAATATAATATATTTATATAAATGTTCTGTCCAGGGCTGTGCTTCCCTTATATTGGGTGACAAGTATTTCTTGCTGAATAGTAGAGGGAATAGATACTGTTTTGTTTCTGTTTTCATTTTAGGACCGATAGTATGCGCGCGCACGCACATGCATGCATATGTGTTTTTATGCAATAAAAGAAAAATTATTGAGTGTTTTCTGAGGCGTGGACGACAATCTCTCTTTTTTTTTTTTTTTTGTTGTATATGTTCCATGTCTCTTGCACCTTTGCACAATTTTATTTTGTCTACTCTGCCTTATCAAACATGACAACAAAAACAGTTTGCTCCTCTTTTTTATTATTCTCTTTATTTATGCTGCAATCGGATTGTTGTTTTTTTTTTTTTTCGTTTATGCTGCTCACTGTTTCAGGCAAAAAGACACTGCGGGGTGCGTGCAAAGACGTGGGAAAAGGCAGTAAAGATGTCGCGACGCAGAGACCCCAAATCCCATCTCACGGAATTTATCCATAAACTCCGCGATCAAGGCAACGAAGGCACCACAGAGGCACCTGGGGCGCGGGGGGAGGGCGGCACGAGTGAGGGCCGCGGACGCTACGCTCCCTCGTTTTCGGGGCAGGTCGTGCTGGCAAACGCTCCTACCCGTGGCCGATCCTTTCCTCCGCGCCCGCGCCCGGATACCTCTGACGACAGTGCAGCCCGTGCTGACGCAGGTGTGACACTGTTGCCTGCTCGCGGCGCACGCGGGCAACGGCAGGAGGCGCAGCATCAGCACTTTGAAGAGGTAGTGGAGGGCGTACAGGAATATGTGCAAGAGCGCCAACGTCACCCCGTAGGTAACTTCATCCACGACGCTCACGGAACTAGGAGCTCCGCTGCAGTCCATCATTCCACATCTTCGGGCATCCGAGCGCGTGGCGGCAGTGAACCCAATTTGGGACACGCCAGACGACCGGTGGCTGCAGGACATGGAAGAGGCAGAGGAAACGACCGCGGTGCTATGGGGCGTCAAAAGCACGAGAGAGCAGAAGAGCGTTAAGCTGCTTTTTTGTCTCCATTACCGGAATTTTCTGTGTGAGGGCGCGGCGAACAGCAATAGGGGTGACAGCGATCAAAAGCGAAGATGTGATTTGCAAAAAATGGCGGGTATGTGGGTAAAGTAGATAAATAAGCTTACGTGGCGTGTGTGAGAGAACCGAACCCCCATGTCCGTATTTTGTGAATACACGTCAAAGAAAGTGGGGTAACGCAGGGGAAAGAAAACGAAAAGGAAGAAATTAACAAAGAAAGTTATCTTAATAGTTCTTCTAGGAAAAGTTGGGTTGCTTGGACACCACTCGGCTGAAAAACTGAGGTTGTAAGGAGTGCATTGTGCTTTTTTTCTTATCAAATGCTCTTCGTTTGGACAACCGTAATCGTGGGCTGTGTGCTCTTTTCTTTAACAAATAATTGCCATGCAACATTGGCTTTTTTTTTTGTTTTATAATTTTTGTTGTGTGTTTGTCTCATCATGTTAAAACGAATACACATATATGCATGCCCGCACTTCCATGTGTATCTACAAATCTATGCGTACACTGCGCACAAGGGCCTTGCGTAGTAATGTCGATGATTTTTATGTTTTTTTTTTTATTGGTTTTACTTTTATTATTATTTTCAGTTTTGCATCTCTCCTTTTCTGTGTGTGTGGGCGGAGGGGGGTGTTTGTGTGGATTGGGAGGGATACTTTTTTTGCTCACCGGGTTTGCCCTCTATCATCGGCCTCTTTCCGCACGTAGCTGCGAGGCTCGATGAACCTGAACAACTGCACGCACACCCGCACACACCCAGAGAGAGAGGGAGAGAGAGAATATAAAGTCAAAACATAAAACATAAATTAAAACTTTTTTTTTTTTGTGGGTTTGGATTTGGGTTTCATATGGAAAATGGTTGTATGTTATGACTGGCGTGCGTCCTTCCCGCAGGTACTTAACCACCACCTACTGTTTTTAAAAAATGTGAGACGTCATTTTCCACCTCTGCTGCTGTTCCTCCCGCATTTTTACTATACTGTTCTTTCTCGCCTCGACGCGCGCTGTATTAAGCGCTCTCCGTGTGGATCCCTTTGCCTGAAGATGTTGTATTGACGGTAATCACGCCGCGTGCACCACTACAGGGGGGTGGGTTGTGAATGTGTGAGGTAGAGGCGGAAAGTAAAGGGATGACTGCGCAGGGGGCAAGGGAAATGTGGAGGAAGTGGCCCCAAAATAAAGGAAAAGAAAAGACTGAGGTGGGTTTAAGACGACACGGTAATTCGCCTCGTTATTTTCATACACACGTAGAAATATATCTATATATCTACGCCTTTTTTTTCCGTTTCACTCTGTTCTGCGTATATTCAATACGTAGTTTCTTTTTATTATTAGCTCCTTACTATTGTTTACTTTCATACTCTTTCTCTGTGTATGGTGAATGCTTTGTTTGGGTTTGTACATGAATGTTTTTTTTTTTTTACTTCGGGCCCTTTTTTTTCTGGCTTGTATTTGCTTTTTGTGTGTGTGTTGCATTCGAAATGTATTTTTGTAGAGCGTTAAAGATGGTTTAAAACATTTTTGGCTTTGATTCATTGCTTAGTTGTGTTTGCCGATCCGTTCTGTTTGAGACTTTTGTCTGCGCAGGGGACTCTCTCTTTGCGGCTTCTGCCGGTAGGAGGGGAGACGCTTCTCTCGTGTGGTGCCTGCCGTGGTGGGCGGTGTCGAGCGCTGGGCACAAGTTTGCATAAATCTGAAACATAAACGAGGCAAACAAACAAAAATAATAATAATCTTTTACTAGAGCTTCAGCAGCCAGCATGTCAGGGTAAGAGCAGGATTCGTGAGTCGGGGTGGGTGGAACTAAAACAAGCAAAAACACAAAAAAAAGACAGACATATGTAAATTGTCATCTGCAGAGGATAGCAATGGGACGTATGGGTTTAAGCATTTGCCTTAGGGCGCGGTCGCAGAAGTCAGTTCAAGGTCGTACTTGTGTGTGTAGGGGGAGGGGTTGTAGAATGAATATGGGTTTCCCGTGATTTGGAACCATCACTGCAAGGATTGCCCGGGTGAAACTGTGGAACATCTCTGCAGATGACTCCTTTGCAACGACTAGGCGTTTGAGTTTGAATTGAATTGACCTGACGAAGAATAAGAGCCACGGGGTGTGGCGAAGGTGCCAAGAGAGCACTACTTTTGTGAGTTATGAAGAAAAACATTTAAATGTTGTTGTCTATCTCCTTTGGGAAGGTAGACATGCTTTTTAGCTCTGTGGATATTCTCTGCAATAATGGCAATTGCTGTTGCTCTAGAGAACTATATAAATATATACATAATTTATCTTTTTCATTTCCATCTTCATTTCTTTTAGGTTGCGTTGTAAGGTTATTTCAGCCTCAATAACGACGTATTTCCTTTTTTTTTATTTTTTTGTTTTTTTTTGTTTTTTTTTGTTTCCCCTTCAGGCTCTAAGCAGCGTTGCAGCAGGGGGCGGGGTAGCGAGCAACCCAATACGCGCTGGTGCGTTGAACAATTGTGTGGTCGCTCTACCACATTTTGTATGTTAATTTATTTGTTTTTGTTTTTGTTTTTGTAGTTGTTCTTTGCTGCCTTCGAAAGCTGTCTGCGCCAGGCTGGTTGACGTGCACGGGAAGGGGACTGAGAAGAGGTGCACAGAAGGATGAACAACAGTGCACCGCTTATCTTTGATGTTCCGCCAATGTTTAGGGTGGAGTCCATCATTGGCCAGGGATCGTACGGCGCGGTCTGCAAGGCGGTGTACGGCACCGACCAAATAGCCATCAAGAAGATACCAAATTATGTGAAGAGTGAGGAGACTGTCCGCCGTGTGCTGCGTGAGATTGAAATTCTGCAAAACCTGCAGTTCTGCGAGCAAGTGGTGGGATGCCGGTTGCTTTTTCGGCCGACAAGCCGCGAGAAGGATCTCTACGTGGTGATGGACTGCATCCCCTCTGACCTTTCCACGGTGGTTAATAACAAGTCCATTGCACTCCCAGAAAACATCATTCGTTACATCACGTGCCAGTTACTGCTTGCCTTGCGTGCCATGCACCGATGGAAGGTACTGCATCGCGATTTTTCCACACGCAACATTCTTATTAACTACAACTCACAGGTTTTTGTCTGTGACTTTGGTCTTAGTCGTTTTTTTGACCCGGATGAACAGCTTTCCTTTGGTGTTGTGACGCAGTGGTATCGTGCACCTGAGATCATCCTCGACGCCGAGTACGATGCCGCAAACGATCTCTGGAGCGTGGGCGTTATTGTCTGTGAGCTGCTGCTTCGTCGGCACCTCTTCCCTGGAAAATCCAACGACTCTGCGGATCAACTTAATCTTATCTTTCATCTTGTTGGTACCCCACCCCCTTCTGTGTTTAACGAGGGCCAGCCATTCGCTCGGGCCTCCATTAACGCCAAGAACTACGCTCTTTCAGTCATAGAAAAGCGCCCACGCATATCAATGCTGCGTGAATTGCTACTTCGTGCCCCCATCTTACAAGGGAAAGATGCAGAGACGTCGCCCATCATTGACTTGGCTGAGAAGCTGCTCTCGTTCAACCCACGTGACAGACCGACGGCCGACGAGGCGCTGCAGCACCCCTGGTTCGAGCCCTGTCGTGCCTTTATCGATGACATGATTGGGGCTCAGGAAGAGCAGCACACTAGCCCACAGTTTTCTTCTAACAGTTTTCTGTCAATGCAGGAAATGATCCAAAAGATAGAGGAGATTGTGCCGATGTTTTCGGAGCAGCTTCTCGTTAGTGAGGACGCCGAATGAAGTATTCGCGCGTATGACCGGCTGAAAAAAGGAAAATAGAAAGAAGGGGAAGGGGGAAAGGCAGAGTAGAGGATATAATGAAAATGAAAAATATGAAGAAAGTTTTTCTATATACATATATTCTGTATTTTGAATTTCCATGCTTTGCCTGATTCTTCTCTTCTGTTGCGTTGGTGACACGTATTACTGAGACACTTTTTAAGTCCGTTTTTTTTTTTCGGTAGTTGTTGTGCTTTGTGTTTTGGGCATGTTGTTTTGCCTTTCATTAAATCGCAATGCGTGGGCCTCATTGGATACTTACATGTTTACATGTTTCTTTTATTTGATCCCGTTTTTTTCTAATGCTTTTTTTTCTTTTTTGTGGGTTGTACATCGTGCGACTACTCTTGCCTGCTGGGGCTGCGTCGTGAACAAGCACGACGTGTCAGCGTGGTCCGCCCTGCGGTGTGTGTGCGTACGTGCGCCTGACGCTTTTTGTATTCCGTCAGAGAGAGGAAAGGGGAACAGAGTGACAGCTGCCAGCCTGTCCCAGGGCCGTTTTGTGTAGTAGTCGCGCAGAGACCAATACTTCAAGAGAGTCATGATGCGGTGCAGCTGCATTCTGCGGGACAAGTCGATGTTCGCGGCAAAGCGTCGCGTCATTGTCCCTATCCATCCCACACCAAACTTCCCGGCACACTTTATCAAGGCGTCCTTTACCACTGACCCGCTGAAGGAGAAGCAGAAGGCACGTTTTTCGTCCGGCGGTGAGGCGATGCGGGAGGTGCAAATGATACCGAAGAACCTTGAGGGTGAACGATCGCGGCGGGAACTCATGTCGCGCGGTGATAGCGAGTTTGAGGCACTCATAGAGTTTATCCAGGGTGCATCCTACGATCAACTGATATCGGGACGTCGCTTTAAGAAGGTGTATGACAAACTCTCGGAAAACGACGATATGTTTGTTTGGCTTTGTCACACGGCGATGTCGGTGCTGAATCCGGGGGATGTCCGTTCACGCCTGGTGTATAACCACCTGCGCACACTCGCTGAGGCGGTCGCAAATGGGGAGATGACATTGCGAACTGCCTTTCGATTTTATGAATCCGCTGTGCGTAGCCCTGCATACCGTGAAATTGCGAAGCGACAACTAGAGAATGGTGCAGCAACCCGGTTAGCGGGCATTAGCGCCGCGGCGGAGGTGATGCGGCGAATGGGACTCACCCGACGCCCCATGGCTTCGTACTTTGAGCTGTACCAACGCATTGTGGAGCGGTCGGAGGCAATGACACCGTGGGGATTTCCTCCACTCTTTCAGTTTGAGGAGCGTCTTTCGCTTGAGCCGCGGCTAAAGTTCTTTTCGCGAGCATCACAACAGGCACTAGAACGCCGCCGCCGCGGCAACATCATGTCTGCATACACAACGCTGCAAGGTCGTCGTATTTTCTGGATCCCGCCCACATGGAACCGCGCTGGCCGTTTCCTTGGTCCGCATGTCACGCTGTACCCCGGCATGACGCCTGATTAATGTGGTGCGCCGCCTGCGCGTCGTTTGTTGTTTGACAGTGTGTGAAGGAGGGCGAAAAGGAAAGTGAGTGCGCGTGGACTGTGGTCGCTCGGAATTCTCATTGCTTTTTCCCCCCTTTCCCTCCTCCTTCCTCTTCTTCTTTACTTACGCTTTGGCTTGATGCAGCATGATGCGTGCGAGAAAAGTATATATTCTTTCCTTCTCTATTTGTTTATGTTCATTGTGTGCTGCCTACTCCCACGCATGTGACAACGCGTCTTTGTGGTAACAACAGCATATTTAAGCGAGAACCACTGGGGAAGCGCAAAAACCGCTGGCCATATCGAATACATAATAAGGTGTAAAAAAAAACTCACAAGGAAGTCTTTTTAAACGTGACCAAGAGGAAAACTCAAGTAGCACGTCTCATACTTGGACAAAATGGGAGGGTGTGTGGCGTCTGTGCTGGATACGCGGAATCAGTGGAGCCTCGTCGACTTCCGCGAGTACCAGGAATACATGCAGCTTGGGAGGCAATCTGAGCCCGTTCCGGAGACGGAGAAGGCCAACGCTTCCGCCATCTATCGCATAAGCGGAACCTCGGACGAGCAACACAAGAAAGATGTTGAAAGTTTCTACCATTTTGAGACAACATCGCAGCGAGTGTACAAAATATGCAAGGAACGCGGCGATAAGACGGCAATGACATATCGTGTCTTAAAAAATATGGAGTACACCACTTCAACCGATACCTATGGCAATGAAAAGAAGCTTGAGGTATACGTGTTTGAGCCAAAGCGTCGCAACATAAGCTATACTCAACTGTGGGAAAGGATTGAAAACCTGGGAAAGGGATTGACTGATATTGGACTTAAGAAGGGACAAATGGTAGCAATATATGAGGAAACACGATGGGAATGGTTTTGTTCTATTCACGCCATTTGGTCTCGTCACATGATCGCGGTGACAGTGTACGCCAACTTGGGTGAAGGAGCTCTTGCGTATGCACTCGAAGAAACCCAGTCTGGAGTTATTATCTGTGGCGGAAATAAAGTTGCCAAACTCATACGGACATTGAAACAGGTGGGTATACGTGAGTCTGTTATTATTTATCTTGATGAACTTCCTGAGGGCACGGACACTGCAGGTTATGTTTTGTACTCTTGGACAGATTTGCTGAAAAGAGGTGAGGCAAGCAAGGCTCCAGTTGCGAATCTTCCTGCTTCTGAGAACTGCGACGATCTCGCGCTTATCATGTACACAAGCGGCACCACAGGGAATCCGAGGGGCGTTATGCACTCTCACGGAAGCATTGCTTCAGGATTCTCTGCGTTGGCTTTCCGTGTACTGGACGTTCTTGGCGAGAAAAAGGAATCGGAAACGTACTGTTCGTATTTGCCGCTTGCCCATATTATGGAGCTTGCCGTGTTGAGTATTCTCTTTTTTCGTGGATGCATGATTGGGTTTGGCAGTCCACGAACGCTAACAAGTGCTTTTGCCAAGCCAAGAGGAGATTTTGAGGAGTACCGTCCTGTCTTTATCGTCGGCGTTCCACGTATTTTTGACACTATTAAACGAGGGGTGGAGGCCAAGTTACCCCCTCCAGGCACTTTTAAGCGTAATATCTTTGACCGTGCGTACCAATCCCGTCTCAAGGCCTTAAAAGAGGGCAAAGACACACCGTACTATAACGCCACGGTTTTTGCACGGGCCCGTGACGCGGTTGGGGGCCGTACACGTCTGTTCTTCTCTGGTGGAGGGCCCATGAATCCCAATACGCAGGAGTTTATGAGCGTTGTATTCGGTATCATGGTTCAAGGATGGGGACTCACCGAGACAGCCTCGTGTGGTGGCGTACAGCTCCCGGGTAATTTTGAGTATGGGAGTGTTGGCCAACCACTCAAATCACTGGAATTTAGGCTACTTGACACGGATGAGTATAAGCACACAGACAAGCCAGAGCCTCGCGGGGAAATCCTGGTGCGTGGACCCTTTCTCTTTAAGGGGTATTATAAGCACGAAGAACAAACAAGGGAGGCTCTTGACGAGGATGGTTGGTTTCACACAGGGGATGTGGGTGCCATCACATCGAACGGAACAATCCGCATTGTGGGACGCACGAAGGCTCTTGTAAAGAATTCCAACGGTGAATATATTGCTCTGGAGACACTAGAGGCGATATACGGAGAAAGTTCTCTTATTACACCTAACGGTGTTTGCGTACTGGTTCATCCCAGCCGCAGTTATATAGCTGCTTTGGGGCTTACCACAGAGGGTCTTGCAATGAAATTTGCCAAGGAAAATAAAATCTCCGGAAGCTTTCCTGCCATTCTTGAAAACGAAGAGTTTCGAGCAAAGGTGACACAGTCGTTTCGGGCGACGGCGCAAAAAGCTAATCGCAAGAGCTTTGAGGTGATACGCCATGTGCGTTTGTTGGCAGACGAATGGACTCCTGAAAACGACATATTAACAGCAGCGTTAAAGTTGAAGCGGCGCGTTATCGAAGAGCGCTACAAGGACTTAATTGGGGAATTGTTTGCCGAAGATTTATAGGTTACGTTACGTTACGTTACGTTATGTTTTTTTTTTTTTGTCATACTTTATTGCCGTGCTTATCATTGGAGTTGCATTCTCATTCTTTTCCCACTTTATTTTGTCATCTTTGTTATTAGCGTAGCCATGCACGTGATGAGCTTCGTGGTGTTTGTTTGTCCTTTTTTTTTTTTTATTGGGACAATGAGAGCGATTGTGAGGCTCTCTCTCTCTCTATATATATATATATATAGATAGATATACATGTATGAAAATATGCTTTCTGTGGGTGTGTTTTTTTTTAAGGGTTGCCTGCTGTTGGTTCTTGCTCTTCCAAATTTGCGAAGGCTTTTTTTTTTTTTTTGGGGGGGTGGGGGGTGGGGGAAGACAGGTTTGCATGTTGAGTTCGGCCCGAGGCCCGCGCGGTTGGAGGTCGAAAAGACCCTCTGCCGAAGAGCGCTCGTGGACCATTTGAAGGACAGCGGTGTTTTTGCGCGATTTCTTCTTCCGCACAGGGACCGCGTCCGAGGGACATCGCGGGCGAGAGAACGAGGCGCCTGTGGATGCCGCAAGTTCTTCCCACTGTACAAATAGGCGCGGCCCTGAAATGTTTCACAGCTCTTCTTGTGCCTTGGCGGGGGGCGCGGCAGCCGTGCGATCACAGTGGATGCAGCACCCAGTGAAATGGGGCTTCACGCGTGGATAGGCAACATTTGTGTCTGCTGACCTTTCAAAAAGTCGTGGAGATATGCGTGGGCAACGCACGGCACGGGCTGCGAGGCAATGTGGCGCCAATGCGGGAGAAAAGGGTGAACATTTTTTTTTTTAGAATGACGAAGAGAGTGACGTGCTGTTTGAGCGTGTCGCTCCGAGTGTTTTGGCGTTTCTCTTGGCGGTTTGCGTCAACAACGCGGCGGCGGTGGTTCATATCGTAGGGGATAAAAAAAATGGCGGTACACGCATTCGGACGCGCTGCTGGCTGAAGCAGCCGCTGCTGCCAAGGCGGTGCGGGCGTGCGGCTCAGAGACCAAATTGCGTTGCAGGGCGGCCGAAAAGAAACCTGCTGGTGGGGTTTCACGAGGGCGCGCCGCAGCAGGGAGGGAGGTGGCGACGGAGGTGTGTGTGCGTGTGTGTGTGTGGTTGCAGGCAGTTTCCGTGCCCCCGCCATTCCTCGGTGCATCAGAGGGACCGAGGCAAGCCAAACAAAGGTGTGGCGTAAGATGTCTTTTAGTTTTAATTAAGTTTCAAGAGATCATGACAGTAATGGTACGCTGTCTCCCTCATTCTCTTTCTTTTCTGTTGTTTCTGAGAGAGAATGGCGCATAATGATATTATCATTATTTACGTGTGTGTGTTTGTGTTTTCTTGGGTTTTGTGTCGCGACTGGGTTTGGCTGTTGTAGTGACTGCGGTGGGCCTTCTCTCGGACTAGCCGCCTGCGTGCTGGAGGGTGGCGGCTGTGTTCGGACCTGAATGAGAGGCGTAGGCGTGTGTGCGTGGGAAGCGTCTTGAACTCGCACGCTGCACTTTGCGTGCATTGTTGTGTGTTTTTGTTTTTATTTTTCCTACGGTAGCATCCATGCTTCGCCGCAGCCGACTTGGGCGGCTTGGCAACTACCGCCAGCATAGCGATAAGGAGCGGGAACGCATCGCCCAGGAGCGCCAGCGACGCATTCTTTACGATCACAGCGGCAACGTCAAATTCTCTGGTTTGTTATTTCTTTTCTGGGAGGAGTTTCGCGCGCCAATTCTCTGTCTCGCCGGGGGCATCGCCTTTGTGGTTGGGTACAACAAACTCATCTATCACTTGACTCTGCAGGAGTCCGCACAGGAGAGGGAGCTGGACCGGCAGAGCGAGGCGAACGCGCGGATGTCAGGTAAGCTGAAGGGAGATCGTTATTTAGTGAAGCCACTGCGTCAGGTGGAAGACCCAGACTTTTTGAACATCCCCTCGCACGCAGGGAAAGGCGTGTACTCCAGCAAACTCTTTGCTGAAGACTCGGCAGGCACGGACCCTCTGTTCTCGGAACGGAGGCGGAACTGAAGGAACGGCCACAGAAGAACAGAAAAGAAAGCAGGTCGGTGCATGCCGCGTCGCCAACATAGCTGTGGCATGTCGTTTTCCATATTTTTTCTACGGCCTCCATTAACTGTGCCTGTGCTGTTTTTTTTTGTTTTTTTTTAAATTTTTGCTTGTTTCTGTGTGCGTGTTTTTCTAATTTATTTACTTTTCGTTTTTTCACTTTTTGTTTTGTTTTGCTTTGCTTTGCTCTATTCAAGTAAGGAGATACCCGTTGTGAAGGATGCCCCGTGAAATCAAGAACCTGAAGGAGTTCCTTGCCATCTGCTCCCGCAAGGATGCCAGGTGTGTAAAGGTGAAGCACAACCCCCTGATGACCAAGTTCAAGGTACGCTGCAGCCGCTACCTCTACACCCTCGTCGTCACGGACAAGAAGAAGGCGGACAAGATTGAGCGCTCCATTCACCCCTCCGTGAAGAAGATTACCGTTACGGCGCGCTCGCACGCCAAGACAAACGCCGGCAGCAAGTAGTTTTCCAAGAGGGAGGACGACATCATCACCCGGGATTGCCAGTAGTGTTCCCAGCGTGTATGTCCTTTAGGATTTTGTTTTTGTTTTTCTTGTTAGTCATTTTATTCTCGTGGCGACTCTTTGCTCTCACTCTTGTGGGGGGTGGAGGTGCGCTTGTTCCTTTTGTTTCGCGCTGCTGCGCGTGTGGCTGCCTCGTGTGTGTTCCCCTTGTTGCCCGACAACAATGGTTTTTATCTTTTTTTCTTGTTTCTTTGTGTTGCCACATTCTTCCCCCCTTTTCCCACAACACACACACACGCATGTGCGAGTTTTTGCCTTGCGGCCCTTTTCCTTTCCGCCATACGCACCCCGCGGAGAGGGGAATACGACCGCACGCAGTGAGTAGTTGCAATAGTGTAGGGGACAGCCATGCTACGCCAGCCATCCCAATCAAGAAAGTTGCTGCGTTTTCCAGTCATCCAGCTATCCTCATTTCATGTGTCGCGGCGTGCAGCAGGCTCAACAGGGCACGCAGCGACTTCTGCGAGCGCTGAGAGATTTCGCTGCCACGATAATAATGACAAAGTGGCTCTCCTGTTTTGTGAGTGTTTTAAGGGTATGGAGGAGCTTTTGGTGCGGCGCCCCGGTCATCCAGTGCAGCGTCCTATGACATCACCGCTTTTCACCACACCTGCTGGGGTCATGTCTTCCTCATCCCTGTCATCAAGCGGCAATGGGAGGCATGTGCATTCAGTAAAAACTGCCAGATCTTTCTTTCCCAACAGGGATGACCTCTTCCCTGATCTGACTGTGTCGGGCATGTGCCGCGAGAAGATATCCTTCTCCCCCTCGTCGGGAACGTCAGAACTCAAAAAGGTGGCATCAGAGTCGGATGGAAACAAGGGCAATAATAACAAACACATGCAGGCACGGTCTCCCACTCTGGGACGACCAGTAGCTTCTTCGGTTGACCAACAGACGACGTCAGAGACGTCTGCGGCACCAACGGCAGCTGCCTATGCCGATGCTCAGAGTTATGTGTACGCGTATGGCTTGTGGCAAAGCCGGAACGCGGCTCTTCTACAAATGGTGGCGGATATGCAAGAGCTGGCAAACAAGGCCCGCTACCTGCGTGATGTGCAGGGTGAGGGTATACAAGAAGGCATGAGGCAAACAACACGGTTTACCTTCTATGTGGTTTTTCCCTTTGTCTTACTGGTGAGCATTTTTTTTTTCAATGATTCTGCACTTTACAGTTCGCAGCTGCACCACCTGCGTTTGGTTGATTACGATGCGTGGCTGGCAAATAGGAAGAACCGTGGGAGGGGGGGGGCCTTGCTGGCAGTGCTGGTGGTGGTTCCGTTTTTGACAGACCCAAGCAGGGGAGGTGAGAAACTCCAAGAAAGGAAAGACTGAACACATCTCATATCACGGAGAAAAAGACCAAAAACGGATCTTGCACTCGAGAGCAGTGGAGGTGGTGGAATACGGGCTACTTGACACCGCCGCAGAGCGATGCACGAGGTGTGGCTTCCGCAATGAAGGAACGTCATCGAATACCGGAATAACAAACAAAACAGGAAGGAGAGCGAGAGAGAGGAAGCGTGCGTCGTCCATGTTTTTCTGTTTGTTTGTTTGAATAGGTTCCTTGGTGATAAGTGCATCTGTTAAGACTGCTGCACGGACCACTGCACTCGCTTCCTCGTCCCACTTCTATCGACCAACACAAAAAGGCAAAACAGCATAAAATGCATCAGACTCCTTTTTTCATGCTTTTTTTTTTTAAGCTTTTCTTTTTGCGTTGAGGGGCTGCAGTCAGACGGCTAGCGCTACTATGGAGAAATAGGGTTTCTTCCATTCCATCACCAGTCAGCACAATGCCCATCACTGGCGTGTTCCCTGACAGTCAGTGGCAGGTGCCGTCCAAAACAAAGTACTGCCAGTACCAGGACTGTGACACCTCATTCGAGAATTTAGGATCTTCAGCGGCAAAACAAACTGCTGTCGTTGCGGTATAGTGATTTGCGCTAACCGCGTTTGTAAGTGTAACTACATTTCCGGGCACTACAAGGACAAGCTGCGGTGCGTCTGTTCGCGCTGCTTCGAGGTCATTGAGTAGCGCAAGATAATAATGGCACGTGCAGCGGAAGCAAGACCGCAAATGCCGCCTCAACAGCGTCCAGAGTGGGACGTCACATATGCAACGTTGCACATCAGACGGCAGGAAACGGAGACACGGGTCCTCGAAACGATCTGCCATCTTCATAAACATCTTAAGGAGGAACGCAGGAAAACTCATTATGCTCCAGCAATGCCACAACGTGTCATGGAATAAGCAGCATGTCAAAAAAGAGGACAACATTCAAACTTTTTCAGAGCCATGCGCCCACGATGAGAAGAGGAATGAGACACAAGGAATAAACTCATCATTCAACAAGGCTCAAAATCAAAGCAGCGCAAATCGCCCTATCACCAAAAGCGACGACGCAGACAACAAGAAAGATATTGATCATAAAAGCGAAAACCGCAAAAATCAATGATCAAAGTTAAGTCGAAACAATGAAATCACAAGCACTCTAAAACATAAAAAATCCAGTGTTACAATCATACGTTGATCAATTAGCACGCGAGTGTGATTGCGTGCGGGACGAGGTGCTGGAGGCCCGTGCGATGGAGGCTAGGGAAGTGGCGGCGGAGTGTTGGACTTATGCTGAGTGTGTGCATAGTAGCCCATTGGAGTTGCTAGCTGCGCGTTGTGTTGGTGATGTGTTTTGTGATGCGTTGGAAGTTTCTGTGGGCTTTAGTTCTCTTAATGTGTGTGAAAAGAAGTTGAGGGAACGAATGACATTGTGGCGGTTGAAGAAGAAACTTCTTGCTCTGGCGCGTGAGCTTTGTACAAGATATGAGGAGTTTAATGAACGTGAGCGTATGTTGGGGCTGGGCGTTGGTTTGTGTGAGGTGGAGTGTAAGCCGTCTCCGTCGTCTGATGTTATTGTATGTGATAATTCAGTTTGCCACACACCAGTGTAAGAGAATTGGTGAAGGAACGTTCAGAGTCTTTGGCGTTTGACTCAACGCAGTTGGAGCTTCTTCGTGCAACGGAGGCGCATAGGGATTTGCTTCTTCAGCATGTTCTAAAGGAGGCCGGCGCGGTCGATGCTGGGGATGTGCGAGGGCTTGAGTTTTTGAGTGGTGAAAGGTGTTTTGAGAAAACGCTTAACATATCTTGCGAGCTTGAGTTTATGCTTTTTGGTAACCAACACCAGTCTTGGGTGGGCCCTTGTGTCGTTTAATTTTTTCACTTTACCCCGGTGGGGGAGGGGTTTTCTGTCAACAAGGTTTTTAAGCATTTTGTCGGCATTGAAAAGGCCATGAAGACGCTTTCGTAATGTTTTTTATTTGTCTGTTTATAAATGACTGTTGTGGGTGAAGCGTTGAGTGTCGTGCGCTGTAAATATTTGTATCGTATTGTTATTATTAGTTGTTTATGTGTGCTGCACGTCCATGTGGTTTGAGGCGGAATGAATGTGTCGTCGAACCTGTGAGCCGGCACGTTTTTTATTTTATTTTTGGTTGATTTTTTTTGGCGACTGCGCCTTTTTGTTATCGTTTATTATTGACTATTTTTCCCTCTTTATTATTTTTTAATTTTTCCTTTTTTTTTTCAGTTTTGGTTTGTTTTTATCTTTGTGGTGCAGGGCGTTTCTGGGTATCGTTTGGGTGTGGCGGATGACGGAGGCTGACACATGCTTTCCCGGGACTTACCTGACGTTACGGCCGGTGCAGCGTGGTATGATAGTGGGTTGGAGGCTGGAAGTGTGAACATGGGGGAAGAAAACGGAGAGGACGGCGACGACGTCGCGGCACTACTGCAGCGTGCGCGGCGTCTTGTCGAGAATGCACATCCTTCGGAATCGGCGTCGTTGGAGGTGTTTCCTTGCGCGGGAAACTGCAGGGCGTGGGGGAAGCAGCAACAAGCCGGTGAGGAACGGTGGAAGCGGCTTCGTTATCTTGAGTGGCTGATGCAATTCCTTGTGCGCCAGGAGGGTGTGAGGAAGGTGTTGCAGCATCATGCTGCGGAATCGTGGCAGCTGGCGCAGGTGCCAGCAACAGGACCCACTGAAGCATTTAACGAGGCTTTAGCTTCCGCGAGAGGTGGCGTCGACACAGGGGAGACCACAGGGTCTCGCAGCAGCTGCATCGACTCGGTGACAGTCACTTATCTGGAGACGAACAGGTTACATGGCCCGTGCAGTGAGGCGGTGCCGCACTTTGAGTCCCCACAAACACTCATGCCTAATGAAGGTGTACATGCCCTTGAAGCACATGCCAACCACGCGGAAAATAACATATTAAGGGCAGTTGCATCTGCGTGTGACGATGCGCAGGAGGTCATTGGGACAACATCTGATGAGATAGACTTTGCTCAACAACCCGAACTACAGGAAAAGAAGAAGGAATGGCGTTTTTTCCGCACGTGGTACCCGCCGGAACTTTCTCTATTGGCTAATGTACCTCAGTCACACGGTACTGAGGCCTCTCCTACACCGCATATTTTGTGTCTCTCGACCGTCGTGCACGAGAAACCACGTGGAATGAGGGCAAAGGAGGAGGCACTTGTGGCGCAGGGTCACTACTGTAAGAGCTGTCTTGGTCCGCTAAAGAAATCTTACTTTCCTATTCCTTCATGGAAGGCGGCGAGGTTTTGTCACTACATGGGTATGTATTACTGCCACAATTGCCATTCCAGACGAAAAAGTGTTATACCAGCACGCATTCTGCACTTCTGGGATACAAGATGCTTTTCTGTGTGCAACGATGCTTTTGGCTTCTTGGAACTTCAGACGGAGCGACCCTTGTACTGTGTGTCTGCGGTGAATCCGAGATTGTACGAGCATTCTGTCCTGCTCAATGAGTTGCGGTACTTACGGATACAAGTCATGGCACTGCGGGAAGTGGGTGTGCAATGTTCCGTGTTTCGCAGGCTTTTTTACCGCGAAGATGGGACAAAGAAGTCCACAACAGGTGACCACTCACAGAAGTCTTCCTCGTTGCTGTCAGACACTATGGTGGGCAAGTTCGAAATGGGGTGTTTTGTCCCGCGAGAGAAGCGCTACCTGATGGAAGACAGTGAGGTCTGGTCCTTGGATGACCTTTTGGAGGTTCACCGCTGTTGCTCAGGTGGGCTCAACCACGATGACGCGTCGTGGGACGTTCCGCTGCAGGTGCGAGCGGGTGGTCACGTTCACCCCGTGATGGACTGCAGAGTATTTATGTATCTTCGGCGGCTGCGAATGCAGATGACGAGCCACATCTTTCGACGGCGCTGTGACGTATGCTTACGAAATAGCCTTGATATTTGTCGGTGGTGCTGCCCTTCTGGGATGCTGGATGTGTTTAGACGGTATCGAATGCAGGGGGTATTGCATCACCAACAAGGCGTTGAAGGCTCTCCCACATTGTGCCCTGTATTTCCTCCACCCCCTGTGGATCAAGCTACGTCTTTACATGAGCATGCCGAGCTCTTCCTATTTGTGGTGCACTCTTTTGACTTGCTTCACGTTCGCAGTTGCCCCCAATGCGGGGCTTGCTACCACAAGCAATGCTTTGAACTAATGCAGTGCGGGTTGGCAGGTGGTATGGGATGTCTTCGTTGCCGAGGAAGTAGTGATATCACTGCGTTCGCGAATGTTTCTGAACATCTTTTATCCGTCTACAAAGGGCAGCTCCAACCCGAATGCCTTCGGGAAGGAGAACCTATGTAATGGTATTTGATGTACTTCTGCTTACGATTTTTTTGCTTTTTGTTTTTTGTTTTTTTGCTTGTATGCGTGTGTGTGCACCTAACTATGGAGGAAACGACATTGCGATGGGGCGAAGAACGAATACCACTAATAATAATGGAGAATGACTCAGGCGGGGCTCTGAATTCTGTTCTTATCTGTTATTTTGACTCGTGTGTGCTTTTCCTCTGTTTTTATGGTTATTGGTGTACACATGCTCGTTGCGTCTTTCTCCGCTGTATGACGTTATCTCTGTTTTGGTGGTGGTGAAGGAGGCACAGAGAAGGAAACGAGGGTGACAAAATATGGAGAATAACACGAGTAGGAGTTTGTTGGAGAAAGAAAACAATGACGCACAAGGGAACTTCGCCTATCTGCTTGCACGCATCATTAGCTCCGAGGAGCGTGAGGCACTCCGTGAAAAACACATCGGGGTCATCTGCTGCCCCTTGTGTCACCGGGGCCAGGAGCGTCGATCAAGCACGTCGTCGGAGGCGAGCGACAAGTTGTTTATGGACAAACCTCATGCCGCTTTTGACGTCAACTTGGAGAGCATCGGGGTGGAGAGAGGAGCTCAACCCCGCACGGACATTTTATGGACGCTGGTAAAGAAGACGGAACATCTGGAGGAGCAGTTGGCCCGTGAGACACAGAGACACGCCACGTTTCAACAGAGCTTGGACCGGCTTCAACAACAGCTTAAGGAGCTGAAGGAGGAGCCTCATTCTCAACACCAACGCTTTGATGCAGTCGACAATACAATACTTGAGATTAATCTGGATGCTTTGGTTCGCCACATCCGCCCCTTTGTTGATTTGCTTGTGTCGGAGTGGAGCGAGAATATCCTCTCCAAGGTAAATACCATGCTGGGGGATTCGCGAAGGGTGAAAGATGGAGAAATTGTACTCAAACCGCCCTTCCAAGCTTCTCCATTGAGTTTGCTTAATCCGCAGCGAGCGGCGTCACTCTTTGACGGCCAAAGCCACCATAACAATGGCAATAACGACCACGGTGAAAATGATGGTAATTCTAATGATGATGCCATCACGGCAACCGTTCCACCGAAGCGTTGCTGCACCGCATTTAGGAATTTTTCCCCCTTTTTGAACCACGCTGACAAACTTGTCTTGCCGAGAAAAAATAATGTCATTGCCAACACTTCGCCTGATACCCAGTTACTCCCATCGGTACGCCACAGTAGCATACCCTCGATGCACTCCGAGGGCATTCTTTTGAAGCGATCTGGCAACGCGCTACGCTCCGGCGTGGTAGGTGGTAGGGGGAATGTCTTTAACTCACCAGTGGGGGGAAGTAATGTGAGTTTCTTGGGCGTGCAGGACTTTCCGGGCTGTAGTTCCTTTCGGAAAAATTGTACGTTTCAGCGTTTGGCTCATTTGGACTGCCTGTCACCTATTAAGTCTGGAAATGTTGATGATACCAAAACAGAGGGATGCTATTGCCCATCCGTAAAAGTTCCATCCCATTTTCTCTTACGTGAGATCGGGGAAAATTTCAATGACCCAATCAACCAGCCGTGCGCTGAGAGTGAAAACCTTGTCGGGGCGGGTGGTGCTACAGACGATCAGCAAACCAACTTACATGGGGGTGCAACTGACAGGAAGCGTTGGCTGCCCCCTCCGCTTGAAAAGGATGAACTTATATTTACGCAGAATGAAATGTTGAGACAGCAGCTGCAATAGTTGGAGGTTCAGTTGGTGCAAGATGCGATTGACGCGGCAAATGCGGCGAACAGTAACTCTCGTGTTTCCATATTTGCGCTGACTGCAGGCTTGTCGCTTGAGGCAGTGGAACCGCTTGCAACACTCTCGGAAGCACTGTCCCCGCCGTCTTTGCCGTTGTCTAAATCATCACTGCTCTCATCGGATGCATCACCCAAAGTGAACGGTAGTTAAAATGATGGGCCTGCTGCTATCTTTAATGTATCATTATTTATTTATTTATTTATTGTTGTTGCTATCGTTATTCTTGAAATTCCTTTTTTTTTGTGTGTGTGTGCGTGTATGTGTGTCTAACTCCTTTTATTTTGTTATTTTTTACTTTCCGTTGTAGCTTCCTTTTTTTGGAGCGGTTTTCATCTGTCTGTACATGCGCACGGTGAGAGCCAATCTGGCCGGGTGTGGCTTATTGTAAGGAGCAGGTTAATTCTCCCACTTGTGTCCCTGCAGTGGAGGCGTGAGAAGGTTGGTGTGGCGTTTGCTATGCTTTTTGCTTTGCGCAATGATGCGTCAGCAGCCACGAGTTGCTGCGGCTACTTGTGCGGGATGGGACCCTGACACGAGATCTGCACTGCCACCTCGGGCGAGACGCCGTCCGTTGATGGACGTGGTTGCCCTAAACATATTTCCCATATGATTTTTTTTTCCTACCCTCCCGCTAACTTATTATTATATTGGCGGTTTTCTTAATTTTTTTTTTTATTGTTCCTGCGCTCAGATTTTGAGACTATGCTTTTCTGCTTGGAGCGACTCCTCTTGTCGGGGGTGCCGTTTTGTGTGTGTGCGTGTGCATGTGTGTGATCACGTCTATTTTGTGGTGCTATTTGTCTTATTTTGCTTCATGAGGAAGTTTGGTCCCGTTGAGTCTCAGTGCTTGGGCGACCCTGCAGCCGTTCCCATCATGCACCTCTTTGCTCCAAGATATTTCCGTATGTGATAAACGGTTTAGTTTTTTTTTCTTGTTGGTTGTTTTTGTTCTCATCCTTTGGTTCTACTGTGCGCCGCCTCGGCCGTTTCTCTTCTAGACGGGGTGCCGTCGCGTGCCATTTTTTTTTTCGTTGTTCTGTTTCCTTCCCTTGCGGGGTGGGTCGCGGCCATGCCACGCATATGCACTGCTTCTCTTGCAAGACCTTGAAGGATCAAAAGGTGGAAGGCGCAGATTTTAGAAGGGACGGAATCGATGGATTACTATCAGAGTCTTGAACTCTCACAAGATTCGACGGCTGAGCAAATCCGCAGGAATTACCACCGTTTGGCGTTACGGTTCCATCCTGACAGGGTGGGAGCTGAGGGGGCGGAGAAGTTCAAAGAAATACAGTCGGCGTACGAGGTGCTCTCAAATCCTCGAAAGAGGGAAATATACGACAAGTTTGGTGCCGCTGCTCTCGATAGCCCTTTTGCGGATGCGCTGATTATTCGACACGGAGGGTTTGTGATCTTTTGCTTTATATCAGTTATGATATTTATATTGGCCTCGATGGTTGTTATTTTTACTGCCTTTATTGTCTCATATGTTGACGGTGGACTGGCGGCGCGTGACGTTAATACGGTGAACGACCACAGCCGAAGCTACTGGAATTATATAAAGGTATTTGCACCGCTATTCATCGTTGACATAATTATTGGGATTCCAACGTTAGTTGGCCTTATTGTGGCGATTGCCAGTTTTCGGATAGATGCTTTCCTATGGATGCTGATCGTCTTGTGTCTCATTCTAGTTAGTATTTTTGTGCCTGTGGCCAAAAACGCAAACGACATGACATCGTTGCGTGGTGGCAATGCATTTTATGTGTGGCGTCGCTGGCTTGCACCACTGTACATTGCGATGGCATTGCACATTATCCTCTGCTTCACTGCAAAGCTCCCGACGAGAAAGATGTATGAAGACCTAAAAGCAAAAGGAACTGAGAAGTTGTGGGGATACCTTAAGTTTTCCTTTGTCTTGGCAATCTTGCGTGGCTTGTCCCTTGTGGCATTCAGCGCTCTTATCGCTTGCCGTGCTGACGAGGTCATCACGACAAATTACTTTGTGGTTTTGGCCATGCCATTCTACGCCTTTGGGGCCCTGGCTCTTATTGAAGCGGTGGGGTACCAAATTGTCATTCAGCGGACGCAAAAAAAGTTGCAATCCAGTTGCTGTGCCTACGTCGGGCTGACTTTTTTTGCGGCTGTTGTTGCTATTGCGCTTGTCTCGATTTCCTTGGTAGCCAAGCGGCTAAACGACTTGGACAGTGTCCGTAACGGGGGTACGGGAAAGGTACTTTCACTGACTTTGGCCCTCATTCCTGTGTATATTCTCCTTGCCTTCGCCTTCCTTATGGTGTTGTTTCTTTTGTGCGTCATGTGTGGTTTACAGGATCCCCAGTGCGCCGGGTGTTACTACCCTCCCCACAGTAAAGAGGAGGGGGAGGAGCGTGAGGGGCACCAAGAGAGTGAAGCGGTTTCCGGTGATGAACACGAGCGTAGTCGTGGAAATGAAGCGTGTGAACAGGCGGGCAGAAAAGATGGCTGTCGAAATGACTCTGGAGATGGCAATGTGCAGCAGGGAGGTCATAATACGCCAGTGGGCACCAATGACCAGAGTCTCTTGCCTTCTTTCCCTCAGAAGAGGCTCTCGGACGTTGACTAAATCTCCTCTCCCTGCATGGAAATTAGAGAAGGATGTAGAGGATGCAACAGCCGTTGTTTAATTTTTTTTTTTGGGCGGAGACATGGAAGAAAACTGAGGAATTCATATTGCAGAACTTTTTTTTTTGTTTGTTTCCGCGTTGTTCTCTTTTCGTTAGTAATGATTGCGCGTCAAAGATGCGGTGTTGTGACTCCAGTTTATTTTTGAACTTCAACAACGATATGAAAGAAGAAAAATATAAAAATAATAATGTGTGAACCGTTGCGGCCAAATACATGGGAAGAATATTTGTTTGACGTGTGGGTGGCCCTCTTTCTGCGTTACCTTCTCTGCTGTTGTGTTTGTTGTTGCGAACGAATTACCACATTGGAAGACAGCGCGGGTACAGTTCTTTGGCTTGTTCCTCCCGCCATGGTCTCCTACTAATTCACTCAACACGGAAGAATCTGGTGGTTATGGGGCTTTAACGAATGCCAGTTTGCTGGTTTTTAACGTTGTCCTCTTTGTCAAGTCTTTCGAGTTCAATTGTGTGTGTGTGGGGGGGTGGGGGTAGAGAGAGAGTGTAATGTCACTCTACGCTTCCGCATGGTATGCAGGTAATATTGACCCAAACGGTCATCATCCCTTTATTGTGTACTCCCTCGTTTGGGGAGTGTGATTGAAAAGGCTCAACTAGGCGCATATTGATGATACCTTTTTTTTTGCTTTTTTTTTTGAAAAAATATTATTGTTCTCTCCTGCTTCCTTTATTTTCACTATTGCTTTTGCTACCACTGAGTGTTCACTCAACACATTTTGTCTTATTATTTGAATTTGCGTGCACGTGTCTGTAACCCCCCCCCCCCTCCCACACTTTTTTTTTTTTTAAATTGCTTTCCATCTCTCGCTCTTTCTTGCGTACAAATCAATGCGAAACCATCTTGTATACATTGCACATATGCATTGCACAAGTGTGTAGGGGCCCATACGCAAAGGAAGCACCTGGGCGCGGTGGTGAGGAGGAAGTTCATAAAGCGTATAAACAGCTGGAGGAATACGCAGCAAAAAGAGGGGAGAACGAACGGCGGTACGCGATGGAACAGGAGGGGGATAAGAATAAAGATGATAGCACCGGTCACATTTTACCTGAGGCAACACAGTATAGCGTCGTCTCTCTTGAAAGCATCGAACATCACTATGTGGAGGTCTTGAGGGAGCTCTCTATGGAACCACAGCTTGAGGCGTTTAAGGATGAGTACGAAAAGATCCATCGTCTACTGCGCAAGAGCAACGAGGGCGAGAAGCGATTGTTGGAAAAGATCAAGGAATTGCAAGTGGATCTTGAAGTTCATGGTACCAAGGTGGAGGCCGCGTTAAAACTGTCGCAAGAGGATGAAGAAGTCATTGTGACGTTGCGCAAGGAAATTGAGAAGGCATGGGCTCTTACCGATAGTGCTCACACCCGTGAGAAGGAGGGCCGTGAACACATCCAACAACTACGCAAACAGGTGGCAGAGCTGGATGCGCTGGTTGAAAAGGTCACGCGCAACACTTCGGGCCAAGCGACATACCTGCATGAGCTCATCGTCTCCAAGAAACAACTTGAAGGCGAGCGTGCCGTTGCACATTCAAAGGTGTCTGAGCTTCTGGACGAACGGGAAACGATGCGAAAGAACTTTGAAAGGGCACAGAATGAGAATAACAGTGTGCGAGAAAAGCTTGAGACCAGTCTATCCAACTACCAAACACTCCTTGAGGGCCTTTCCGAAATTCGACGGGGGCGTGAAAGCCTTGAGCAGCAGGTGCGAGAGTGCCGCTCCACCTCAGACCAGCAGATGATAAAGTTGGAGGATCTAAAGAGCGCCGCAGAGGCGCTCTCCGCCGAGGAGAGTCGTCTGAAGGTTCTTGCTGCAGGGGAGCGCGACGCCGTGGCGCGAGTAGCAAAGCAGCTGGAAGAGCAGCAGCGTCGATTTAAGACGGAAGCGGATCGACTTGCCCTCGTGGAGGCGCAGAATGCGGAGGTGAAGTCGGAGATCCCCAGGCTGAAGGTGACCTTGAAGGAGCGGCATGCGGAGGTCACGCGTCTCGCCACAACCCTACGGAAGGTGCGCAAAAGTGCTGAACACCAGCAGGTGAATATGCGTAAGCTGCTGCAGACACGAGAGGAGCTTGTTCAAAAGACGGGTAAGCTTCATGACACGATCGAGGAGCGACTGACTGTGCTGGAGATGGAGGAGAGGGAGTTGCACACGGAGGAGGCGCGTCTCAAAAAGATGTTTCCTGAGAAGACGGAGTTGATTACGAACAACTCTCGCACCGAGAATGAACGGCTGGCGATGGAAGGAAACAGGGTGGGAGAGGAAGGAAAACGGCACAACTTGGCGCAACAACTGGACCAGCTATTGCGCGAAAATGAGCTGCTGCGCAAGAGCATCTTTGAGCTGGAGCAAAGTCAAGAAAAAATTATTGAGCATGGTCAGCAGATGGCGCTGCAGTACCACCAAACACTGGAGCAGACAAGGAAATTTCGCGATAAGGCTCGTGTATTGCAGCAGCAACTCGCGGATAATGAGAAGCGGGGTAAAGTTCAGCAGGATTTGCTAGACCGCGTCTCGGCAGACCGGGCACGAACGGAAAAGCAACTTAAAGAGGGCGAGGTGGAGTGGGCTACGCTTAGGGAGCGGCACGTCACGAATGACGAGGAGATCCAGCTGCTTAAGATGCAGCTCATTGCAAAGGAAGGAACGCTGTGTCGTCTCCATATGGTTCGTCAGCAGCTGCAACGGGACATCTCCAACGCTGAACAACGGGCAAGTCACTTAAAGGACGATGGACTTAATGCCCACGCACGCCGTGAGATGCTGGAGGCTGAGGCGCAAAAACTCACACATCTCATTGCGGAGTGTGACGCGGAGAAAAGCAAGCATCAGTCCAAATTTGCGGATCTTGTCAATGAGCGCAACGTCCTTGCCACACAGTTGATCCACCGCAATGAGGAACTTCGGCTTCTTTACAACAAGATTCGCCTTCAAGAATGCAGTCTTGAAAAGGGTGCTAGTGAATACAATCGCCAAGTCCGGAATGTCGAATCCACCCGAGATGAACTCACGGAGCTACGCTTACGTTGTCGTCTCGAGCTCGTGCGTCTTCACTACTCTGAAAAGCTCCAGCGTCGGAAACAGAATGTAGAACGAGAATTGTTTACTGAGCAGCAACGCTATCGGGCCCTTGTGGATGAACTCCAACGCCCTGTTCATGTGCATCGTTGGCGGCGACTGGAGAGCGATGCCCCAGAGGTGCTCGATGGCATTTACAAGGCTCAAGCTATTGAGCGCCAAATTTTGCAGAAACATGACATGCTTGCTGAGAAAACAGAGCTGCTGGCTAAACGTACCGCAGAGTATGACGCCATTCGGCGCAAGCTTGTTTCTCTGCCAGGCCCGGAGTTAGCTGAAGACTTGAGTCTCTATAACGAGAATTTAGAGCGACGTACTGAACAGATTGGGGGAATGAACTCGGAGCTTCGGGAGGTGGAGCAGCACGCGGATGTCCTCACAGAGGAGGTGCGGCAGCTTTCCCTGGAGCTGGGTGATGTAAAGCGGCGCTACTTTGGCGCAAAACACAAGAATGATCTGTTGCGTCGGGAACAGGTTGTGTTTCGCTCAACGTGGGGGGAATCTTCAGCAGTTGCGAATGTGGCTCTTGCTGCAGCTTCAGCACGTCAAGAGCAGCAACGGCCTGGCAGAAGTAGTGGGGAAGGTGCCTGCAACGATAATAGCAACCAACAGGAAGCGTGGGTACAACGCTCTGCCGGGGCACGACGCCCTTGTCTGTGGTACACGCGGACGCAGATGCGTAGGGAGCGCATGCGGCAGGAGGCTCGCCTTGTTCAGGCGCTTTCCACAGGTGCACCTGCCCCCAATTACCCACTTCAGTTTCGTTCGCACCAAAGGCAGTTTGTTGGTGGTGGTTATGCACTTACGCAGTGAAGCGAGGCGTGCGCGTTTAGCATGACATATGTACAGAAAGTGGGAAGTTACCCAGGAGAGAGTAGTAGAAAATGAAAGAGAAGTGTGAAAAGGGGAAGGAGGCGCTGAGAAGTAAAAGTGGAAAAACAACACAAAACAACGGCATACTCCTTTCTCATTATGTGTATATACTGAGAGGCGACATGCTATGTGTCTCAGAGTCTCATCCTCTTGCTGTGCACGTTGGATTCGGAAAGGAGTTGTTGAAGTTTGTGTTTTTTTTTGTTGTTGTTGCTTGATGCTATAAGCTTGTGGAAGGAATAGAGAGGTAATGCGTCTTTCTAACGAAAAGGAAGCGCGTGTCTTTTCCAGTCATGTTAGACTAATGGACACTCAAGCTACTTTGCCGCCGTTTTCTCTCTGCTGTTATTTTGAATTTTGTTTGGAGTGAAGTGCAGACATGCAATGATCTGCAGCAGAGGGGGGGGGGGGAATTCACACGCGGCGGCCGCCATGATGAATATGACCTTTCTCACCTTCTCAAGCCACTGGAGCTCGTTGCCGTCGGTCCGGCAGCGCTGAGAGTCTGTGCACTGTTCCCACTGCCCGGAGACGCAAAGCAAGCTGTCGATCCCCCCAGTTCTGACGGCCTCGTTCTATTTTGCTCTGAATGAGTATGGGGGACAACCGAAGTTAGTGAGGAGGCCACACAGATGACACGGTGGGCGCATGGGCGAAGATGGATTCTGTTTCTTGTTGCACAGAGCACATCGTCATGGTATTGCGTTGGAGGTGCCTCGTGGGTATTTTCTCCGGGCTGCGATGAAATGTATGGGGACGGGCCTTGGGTGTGGGCCACAATTAGGAAGCTACAACCCTGAATTTTTGTGCCCTACGACCGGAGTGTCCCCTTGCACCTCTGAACCTCCTGAATCCTGATACTAATAATAGCCAAAAACGCCGCCTGGATTGCGTGGGGCGTTGGCTTGAGACACCTGCTACTTGTTTGTATGATGAGACAAACAAGGCGAGAGTGCAGTACAGTTTGTGAGAGGTCTACTCATTTGACGTTGCAACGCTTTTGAGGTGGTTTTCTTCTGTCATTTTTGACGTATCTCCGCCAACTTTGCTCCCAATGTGTTTTGTTTGCGTTTTATTTTATTTTTGCTTTTTTGTCTGCATTGGCTTTCCCAAGCAGGACTAGGCGATGCAGAAGGTCCTTGGAGGGGCCGCTGTGGCTGCTGTTTCTGGCGGTGGCAGTGGTGCTATTCGTCATAGCACGAACAGTGATGTCGCTGCCACATTCGGGGTGTTTCAGAATGTGCACGTAAATCCCTTTCCTGTGCGCGCGGCGATAGACATTGGGACGGGCGGTATGATCTCCATGACGGTTGGACGCGTTGACGCGGCACACAACGCCGTGCGTGACTTTATTTACCAGACGCAGCTGCCGCTGCACCTCGTGTCTGCAAACACTGACTCCGCCTTGGGTGCTTCTGTGCATGCCTCTTATTCGTTTGGAACACCTCCCGCGTCTTTTGTTCTCAGCGAGACAACACGTACCGACATTCGAAATAAAATGCGCATGCTACACGGGGCATTGCGTCGTGACCAGTACGATGGTGTTAGTGAACGGACTGCTGTAATCTCGTGGCCGCTGTGCCACGCCACAGATGTCATGTCTCTGGCCGAAGAGCTGACTCGGGAATTTAAGGTGGACGTTCGCGTATTGGGGAATACGTTTCAGGTGGACACTTTAAGCTACAACACGGAACCCGCATTGGGAGCCGAGAGAGCGACGAATCCTCTGAGAAAAGCGGCAAAGGATCGTGCTATTCAAGTGAAGCAGAGCAACGGCGGGGATGATAGTTTGCAATTACTTATGCAGCAGATAGTTCTTCGGCGGGAGAAGCGACGTGGACGACGCTGCAGCACGGCGGACGAGGATAGCCGCCATTTGAATGCCGCTGCGGTCAGCGCAGTACCGCCAAAGCGGCAACTAGAGCAGCTGGCTTTTCTTGCGCATGCCGCCGTTAGCAAGTGCGTTGCGCCACAACGCATGCTTGTTCTCGCGGAGGACCGCCATAGGGGACTTTGTATTCTAGGCGCTGATACAGGCGAGACGGATGAGATGGACGAGGACAGTACAAATGCCCTGGTTTTACACACTGCAGCGGAGTCAAGTGGTGTGCTGTTACATTCTTTGCCCGTTGATATCCCTACGGCCCAGCGTCTGTTGCTTACGGCGGTGCAGCATCGTGCAGAAGGGCCTGCAGGTTCCGAGGAACGACGCAGCCCCAACCCTGTGCTTCGTGAAGAGCTTAGACACCTGCGCCACCTACTGGAGGAGATGATACGCCCAACGTTACCCGCATGGGTACATCACAAATCTCGCGCTGGTGGTCTCATCTGTGGATCGGGTTTCAACGGTAGTGTGCTTAACCTCGCTGCCCGGGTGGCACAACGGACAAATGTCACTCGAGAACACCTTGACACGCACGCGGAGATGCATTACTGTGGTCTTACAGATGTGCTACTGGCGGTAAACTATCCCGACCCAACGACCGTATTACCAAGTGCTGCCATTGCCAGTGCGCTGATGCGCGCACTGGATACGAACCGCTTTGAGTATTTACCGGAGGTGAGTATTGCTGCCGCATTGTTAGTTCAGCCCTCGCTATGGATGTATGACCGACGTGAGAAGGTGCGGGCGACGCTGCAGAAGAAGAAATTTTTTAGTGGCTGTGTTGGGCAACGCACGTTCCGTCGGCCACACGCTCGCGAAAACCCTGCGGCGCCTCCAGAGTCATCATGGCAACTCAATCAATCGTGGAATCCGTTGTCGTACGGAAACAGCACAAGGGGAACATAATTGGTGAGCCAGAGGCGGGTCGAGGAGGGACTGAAGCGTACATGGTTGATTCAGAGAACAGGAAGGGGAATAATAAGCGAAGCGACCGAAATTCAAGATTGTCCTGTGCGAGTTGTATCGATTTCTGGATTTGCCACTATGTTCCGCGTCTTCCCCCACCGTCTTGACTCTGATTTGAAGAGTAATGGCTGTATTTGCTTCTCCTTCACTCTTGTTTTGTTGCTGTTGTTTTTTGAAGTTTGCTTGCTCTCGTTTTTGTACCACGTGACGTTGGTGGAGAGAGGGAGAGAGGGAGAGTGAGAGAGAACCCATGTCCTTCGCTCTGATTGGGGGGCCCCTGCTGGTGGTGGTGGTGGTGCTACTTTTGCTGGGTTGTGTGAGCGCCCTCATTTACCGCCGACTCACGGTAACCGTTGATGAGGCCGCGCGCGGGGTAACACAGGGGTCAGTGGCCCGTAAACGCAGCAACGTTGTCACGGGAGATGATGAGGACGAGGGCAAGGTGAACGTGCGCGACGGACAGCCAGGTGTGCAAGGGGTCGCCGCGTTGTTGCGCCGCCGCCACGCGCAACAGGCGGAGCGACGCAGTGACGGTGGCCCGGAGGAGGAGGCAACTGCACCGCTCCCAAAGCTCACGCGGCTGCAGAAGAAGAAGCAGGAAAAAGAACGTGAGCGGGAGGAGCGGCGCCAGGCACAGGAAGCGGAGGAGGGCAATCGACGCACCAGGCAGGAGGCGGAGAGACAGCGACAAGAGGACCGCGAGCGCGATGAAGAAAGGCGGCTTATTGCTGAAGAGAAGGCGCTTCAGGATCTACGAGATGAGAAGAAGCGACAAGATGATGAGGAGTACGCCAAGTGGGTGGGCGCCATCGGGTTGGAGGAGCGTGGCGAGATCGGTGATGAGGAGCAGCAGCGGCGGGATACACTCATTGCGTTCTTGAGGGGGCGGGCAATGGAGGTGGACGCACGTGAGGGGAAGCAGCAAAATCAAAAGGAAGGGGTTGCACCATCCGCCCCCACGACAGCCGTGGGAGCAAAGGACGAATTGGCGAGAAACATTTTGGTGCTTAGCGACGTGGCTCGCGAGTACGGCGTCACAGTGGAAGTTTTGGTAAAACTCATTGAGACGTTGCTGGGGGACGGAGCCATCAGCGGGGTCTTTGATGATCGGGGAAAATTTATCTTCGTGGCCGAAGCGCATTACCTTAAGCTGGCTCTCTTCATTCAGCAGCGCGGACGCGTGTCTGTGAAGGAGCTTGTTAGGGAATGCAACCGAGTGATTCTATCATGATTGCGAGGCAGGAGGTTCGCACGTATTTGCTGCCTCCCTATTCCCAACTGTTTTATTACGTTTCTTAATTCATGATTGCTTTTTTCCCAACGTCGAGTGTTTCTTGGAATAGTGAAGGTACACCTCTCTCTCCCTTTTGCTCTATTGCTTTGTTTTGCCCTGGATTTTTTTTTTTCTTTGCTGCTCCTGCGCTTTAGTTGGCGGGAATCTTCTCTCGTTGTGGCCCGGCGCTTGTGGCGTTGTCCACTCGACAGCGGCGATAATCGTAACGAAGGACCACAAGTCTGCGCTGCGTGCCCCCGCGCATACGCTGTCTGTCATGACCACTACTGACCAAAGTGAGTTGGGGAGCATGCGAGGGAAAAAGGGTGTTGCAACCACCGTTGATGTCACTGCCTGCCAGACGCTCAAAAACGAAAAACACGCTCAGGGTGGGGCAGAGTTGTATACGACGCAGAACCCAGCGGCTTGCACGGATAAAACATCTGGAGTACCAATTTGCAAATGCGTGACGACTGAAGAGAAGGTGCCTACTGGGCCAGGTTCTCGTGATGGCGCACTTTTACGTACGCCCAGTAACAAGAAGGAATATAATTTGAAAACGCGGGCATCGTTGTCCAAACAGGCGGGATTACCAGAGCCCTTTGAAAATAATGATCGTTCACATTTGTTGCCCAAAAATGTGCGAAGGGGAGAGGCGGCATCTGTGCAGCAACTGCCGCCGCCACGGCAACCTGCAAAAAAGGCGACAACCTGCAAGAAATTTATCGATGCTGATAGTAAACAAACTGGTTTTTATCAAAGGAAAGATATTCAGCGAGAGTCTTTTGGTAGACAGAAGAAAACCACTGAAGAAACTACGCCGCCTTATGAAGGAAGTTACCGTATTCCCCATAAGGTGGCGGCTCAGCGTGTTTTATTCCCTTTGGATGCTCCACATACTGCGATGAACAATAACCTGGAGCAAAGACCTATTGGCAACGGCCGCAGTCATTCAAATAATTCTCTGCGGCATGACTCCGGACACACCACACGGTGTGTTGCGGCGGCCGACAACAATACGCTTGTAAATAAATTGTTGAACTCAAAGAAACACTTGCAAAGTGAGTTTCCAATTTCTATGGGCAACGAACAACAGGGCATAAACAGTTATGGGGCTTTAAGCGAACCTTGTGAATCAGGTGACTTGCAGCTCAACGTCAAGTTACCCAGTCCCATGTTGGTGTCACTCCTTGGGGCAGGAGGATGTCGCCGGCGGAAACGTATAAAAGTGGTGAGTTGTTATATTCTTGGCCCTCTCCTTGGGGAAGGCGTGTTTGGGGTCGTCCGTGATGCCATTGATACCTCCGCTAATGGTGTCTTTCCACCATGTTTTCAGCGCGTGGCAATCAAAAGCTACAAGTATCGCAGATCATCTGCGCCAATGTTGGTTCCCACGTTTGACCCTGTGGTGGGCTCCTGCTCCGCCGCAGCTTCTCCACTAAGGGTTGGGAATTTTACCATTTCCGAAGCTCAAAAACGTGAAGATTTAAAGATGCGTCGACTGCTAGAAAGTGAGGCTTGTAATCTACAACGATTCCATTGCCCCAATATTATTCGCAGCAAAGACATTTTTACACGGGATGGAAAAGACTTTGTCGTTCTCCCCATTGCCGTTTGCAACTTGGATCAACTGGTGAAGGAAACCGTTCGATATGGGTTTCGCCACGGACAAGGTGTGTACAGTCCGAATAACTCCGCCCCTGTTTCCCAACAAGAACGGAGAAATAGTCCTTTGGGTAAAAGCTTCGAGTCCGACATGACATTTGACGTTGCGTGCGCAAGTCACATGAGCCTAGATGAAAATGAGGTGAACCTACTGAGTTCTACGATGAATGAAACCGCTGCTCCTTTATTCTCCGCTGAGTTCATACGGAGCATCATGTACCAGCTGCTAAACGGAGTTGCGTACCTGCATAACCAAGGCCTCGCCCATAATGACTTAAAACCGAAGAATATTCTTATTTTTGCCAACGGAGAGTTAAAAATTTCCGATCTTGCCGGCGTTTTCGAGGAGTACAATGATCATGGCACCCCAATGTATGTTTCTCCGGAGATCTGCAAGTATTTTTACTGCGCTGGGGATGCGGAGGATGATAAAAAGGTGGTTAAAGTCGATGCACTCAAAAACGACATGTGGAGCTGTGGGGTGATTCTATACTATCTCCTTACGGGGAGGCCACTCTGGCGTCCTCACTCCGATACCCGTAACAAGTATCAACTGTACCGCGAGATTGCCTCACAAGAATCTCAAATCAATCTGGACCATGTTCCTGAGCCAAGAGAATCAACAGCAATGACAACACCACCGACGACGGTGGAGGATCCGTTAGTGAAGACTAACATGAAACCAGAACACAGTACGGTGGAGGGGGTTTCACCCTCGAGTCTGCGTCACTTGTTAAGCAGCTTGCTGAATATTGACCCTGCCGTGCGTCTTTCGGCGAAAGAGGCTATTGAGCATCCATCTATACGAGCACTGTCGTTGGGAGGAGATTCTGCCACGCATATAAATAACGTGGCGCAACGTGAAGTGGTTTCTTGTCTATTAGAAACACCTCATCTTCAGGTGCTTATTAAGCGGGATTGGGAGGAGCACCTGCAGTTTGTGGCTGAGTGCTGTAGTATGCTGAACATTAGTCTACCCAGAGAGATATTTCTTCCAGATAGTGAAGAGGGTGATTGTGAGAATAAATCGTTTGAGAATACGGATGGTGGTGCGGCGCAGCCTACCACTTTTCCTTCACCGAGGGGAACTGTTGACAGGCGTCTTTTTCCCATAGCGGCGGATTATCACTACTATCAGCTTAATTTGGGTAAACCTGAACATGACCTACAGTTTATTTTTTATTCTTCTGTAAAGGTGAATATGCTGCGGGATTATCTATTTGACAAAGTACTCGTGGAGTGTGGATACCGCAGCGCCGAGGAAGCTGAAGCGAAACTTGCACAAAATCTACAGCACAAACAACGGAAGCTAGTTGCTGCAGAGAAAATGGCATTGTTACAAGTGACCGAGGCACACAGTTCACAACATCCAGGCAACCACAGAAACATTGAAAGTGACCACTGCTCTAAGTGTCTCTGCGGTCTCATGTAGAATCTGTGGTGGGATGCCTCTGTTGCTATGCATGTATGTAGCTGCCGGTGTGTGAATGTAAGGATACGAGAGTTAATGAAAGGAGTGAAGGAGCTTCACTACGATCAAAGTTTGGTGTTAATGAAAATTGTTAAGATGTAGAAGAAAAACTTGCGTTTTTTTTTTTTTGGTTGCATGCTCTCGAAAAATGCAGTTGTTAATTGTGATATTGAAGGGGATGAGCGACGAAAAACAATGATGACCACACTACTGCGTGTGAAGCGAAATCCAGCGTGATGCAGCACGACTATGAATTAAAACTTGTGTGAGCCACGTTGAGGGCTCTTCATACGGTTTGTTGGACATTCAAAGTAAGTTCCGGGAATGGGGGCGAATATTCTGCCCGGATTATTTAAATTGTTTACTTTCACTTAACTAAACATTTTTTTTTTCTTCAAAAAACCTTCACGAGGACGTTTGTTGAGTGTTGCGTTGTGAACTGAATGCCATTGGTCGTGCTTCCTCAAACAATGGGATGGAAGCACGATAACTTTTCATAATACAGAGTAAATGCTAATTAATACATGTATATAATATGTATTTTTTTTCCCACTCCGTGCTGTGCATATTCCTTAGCTACTACCCATATACGTTGCAACATGAGGAAAACCAATGAACGGTGTGCGTGGCGTCTTGGGGAGGAGGCGGGCATAGCCATGTGTGACCCCTCCAACGAGGAGCCTTGCAGTGCTAAAAAAGACGATAATGGAAGTGAGGAGAGATTCGCACCTGCCCCAGCACCTGTGGAAGATTATCGACAGAAGCTTGGTGATCCTGGAGCGGTTGGATTTATTGCCTACGGCATCACCACTGTCTTGTTCAACCTGAGCAACGCTGGCCTATTTCCAATGAACACAACAACAGCAGGAATAGTGATTGCGTACGGTGGCTTTGCACAAGTGCTTGCGGGAATAATGGAGTTTGTTCGTGGCAACACATTTCCATGCACAATTGCCACAACATTCGGTTCCTTTTGGATTGCGACGGCGCTGGTGTGGATTTTGCCGCATAAGAGCAACAATACTCCTGATGAGTACCTGCAAGAGGCAGACGAGGCGTTTATGGGTGTCTTTTTCCTGTTGTGGGCAGTGTTTACTTCTGTTGCATTGGCTTCCTCTTTGGTGCAGCCGCGTGCAATTTTTTTTGTTTTTGTAATGACCCTCCTCTTTTTTGTTCTTCAAGCCGTTGCATTTTTTTCGAAGAATGCCCTTATGAAGCGGATTGCCGGCTTTGAGGGTATATGCTGCGGCCTTTCCGCCCTGTACTGCGGTCTGGCGATGATGTTAAATGATGCCCATGGAAAGACACTACTGCCATTGTTCCCTCCCCACCGTAAGCTCAATCATTTGTAGAGTATTGAAAGAAATGGGTTGGCGCGGGTAGGGAAAGATAGCAGTGACGGTTTGCACCCGTCGGCTCACATGAATCAAGTGAGTGGGGAGACGAAGTTGCGAGGGGCTGTTAAATGTCAAGGAGTAGTAAACAAATAATAATTAAAAAAAAATATATAGAGAAAGATATAAAATGACCACCACGAGGCAGCAGTAGTGCATGTGGAAGAATAAGGAGTGATCTCAAGCTGTAAGCTTCCCCCCTTAACGGTCGTACAGCTTGAAGGAGAGAGGGAAAACGAAGACTCTGTTGACAGGAGCACTGAGCGGAATGGGAGTTTAGCAATAAAAATCAGAAAATAACACTTAGAGAGAATGGCTAAAAATTTTAAAAAATAAAGGCAAAATTTTGGGGCAAATTAAAAATTCATTTTTGTATTTTGGGAAATTATATAAATAATGTGGGATCAAAAAGGGCTTTAGCAGATGACAATGCTGTATGTTAGTTTTTTTTTTTTTTTTTTGTGGTTGTGGTGGTGGTGGTGGGGAGGGGTGGGGGGGGGTTGCCATCCCATCCTAAACTCTACAGCTGCTACTACCACTACCAATGTACTCCACGCGGAGATGGGTATAGTGGTTGTGGAATCCCAAAAACTTTTAGTTTGTGGTTCGCGCCGAAAACACATTGATGCTTGACTGATTTATGAATCTTTCTGTGCATGGATGCGGGAGGAATCTTCTCAACTGTAGTGGATGTGGGTCCCATCGACGGAAAATGTTTGTTTTTTGTGGGACTTTGTTCTTTTTTTTTTTCTTTTTTTTGGGAGTATAGAACCAGGCTCTCATCCTGGCACGTACTTCACACAACTCGGCAAAGTTTTTGTGTGGTGTGGCATCAGGCAAAACATTTTCGTATTATCGAAATAAAACAGGAAACTAAGAGTGATGCCGTGGAAAGAATAGAACCGAAGGAACCGTTCACCGCTTCTTTAGCGCGGAGAAAAGGAGGAGGAAGGCGTACAGACAGCGAAGAGTGTGTAAAGAGAGACAGACATCAATTGCAAATGCAGTGAGTTGTTTTTTTTTGGTTGATAATAAGTACATACGCTTGGTTTTATTATTATTATTTTTTTGTTTATTCTGATGTGTATGCGCTTCTGTAGCTTTTCCTTGAGGTGCGGGGATAAGGGTCCTTCCTGTCTTGCCTTGACACTACCCACCACTATATATATATATATAAATAAGGTATACAGTTAAGAACGACATAGTGTAAGAAACTTTTATTAAAATGTCAGCGGTTCATTCTCATGTTGGTTTCTCTCTTCTTTTGTCCGGTATTGGGGCACGTCCCCTTTGTGCTGCTGTTTCCGCTTTTTTTTTCTTCCCTCCAATTAGACACACACACACACACACATCGTCTTTGAGGGGAGGGGAGAATATCGGAGTCTGTAAGAAGTCTTGCAAGCACGGAGGGAGGACACAGGCATACAACACTTTGGCGTACGTGCGCTGAGCAGCTCCACCTTTACTGAGGCCCAAAGGAGTCGTTGGGTGTTCGGCATCCCATGTCAGGGGGGCATGGGGTCGGCCTTGCGAATCAGTTGCTTGCTACTCTTAATACGAATGAAGAAAAAACAATGTTTCTGGAGGCTATCCTTCAAAACATTTTAAGTTCTCACGATCTGGAAGTGGTAAGAAAGACTCGACAGCCTAAGAAACGTGTGAACCCTGCCCCTCAAGGGCTACTTGGATTTGGTATGTCAACTATTCTTGCTAGCGCCCATAATGCTGACCTATTTGAACTGAGTTCGGTTGTTCCTGCGATGGGGCTGGTAATGGGTGGTGGGATGCAGCTTCTTGTTGGACTTTTGGAATACTTCAATGGAAACGCATTTGCGGCAACCTCCTTCATGTGTTATGGCGCTTTTTGGCTTTCTCTCGTAGGAGTATGGCTCCTTCCACAAACCGAGAACGACGTGCATGTGATGAAAACAGTCGAAACATTTATGGGCTTATATTTATTGCTATGGGGGTTGTTTACCATATGTATGGCTTCTGTCACATTTTTTAGCTCGCATCGCATGGTGCAGTTTCTCATGTCTTCGCTGGCTCTCGGGATTTTTCTTCTTTCTGCTGGCGAATTTTCCAGATGTAAAATTGTAAAACAGGCAGGCGGTATGTGGGATTTGTTTCTGGATTGAGTGGCCTTTACATTGCTTTTGCGGAGATCCTTGAAGACAACCTTGGGTACCCCGTTCTCCCCCTTTTCCACTTGAGACGAAATTAAAACAGAAACTACATTGAAATGTTTCCTTGTACGCAACGCGAACAATACCAATCACAGGAAGGGATAATACCCAGCGACTGAGGTGAAACGGTGAGAAGCACATGGATGGGATGAAAAAGAAGGAGACGAAGGAAAGGAGTTCAGTTGTACAGGGAAAGATAAATACATTGCAAACATAATTGGGTACGTTAATTATTGCTTTTGTTATACTTTTTTTTAAAAGCCTTTCTTTTATTATTAATGAGTTGGGCAACTTATTTTTTTTTTTAAATTTCTATCTCCCTTTTGTTTCGCATTGTGCAACGCTAGCTGCCGATGCGTGTGCTCTACCGCGCGCGTATTCTCATTTACGGGTTCTTGCACCCCTTCGTTTTTTTTTTTTTTCGATTCCTTTGCCTTCTGAGTGATTGCGGCAGGATGGAGAATCCATAAAATTGTTGTTTCTTGGGCTTGTTTGGTGGCTGCGCAGTTGGGCAGCATTTGAGCATTTGATATTTTTATGACTCGCTTTGGAGGATTTAAATCTTCCGGATGCTGCAGTTTGCTTGCACTTGAAAGAACAGCGTCACGGAATTGGGGACGGGTATCAGAGAGGCGTCTGATTACCTGGCAGGGTTGGCGAGCCCTGCGTTCAATGTAGCAATAAGTGGGAAGTATATTTGATCACGTGGCGCGGTAAGCAATCACCATCAGTCGTTGGTTCCTGTTGAGCGGCAAGATAATTTGGTCACCGGTTGTCGAGTGACTTCACTTTCTGTTTCTTCCAGCGGCGTCGGGCTGTTCCTTGGGGAATTGGAAAGTCTCCCTCACGGTTGCACAGCGCAAGAGGCGCGGCGTCAGTCACCTCGGGAAATTCACGTGAGAACCTCCCATGAGTACGAGTTAGTTGCAGCTGCCTCCCTACTCCCCTCCATAATAACGTGGCAGCACCAAGTGGCATGTAACTTGCGACATGCTGGCCTCAACGAAACGAAGCGTGGGGCCAATACGAATCAACGTGTAGAACAGGGGAAAAATGAGGAATGAATGAGTAGCATCACAGTTAATTTTTATTTTTAGTGGCTCTCTTACGTATCCTCAATGCAGTGGAAATAAAAGCCCTCACCTCCCCCCAAAAAACAACAACAACAACATCCAAAGTGAAACCTAATGTGCGTCACTGTTTCGCCGGCGATCACTTCTCTTTCTTTGCTTCCACAGTCTTCCGCATAATTTAAAAGGTTAAAAGGCAAAAATAAAAATATTATATTTTTTTTTTTTCGCTGCCACTTTTAGCTTGTTATTTAAGTTTGGCGGAACATCACGAGGAATTTAAGCCAATTTAAAATTTGAAACTTTTTAAAAACATACAAAAATAAAAGAAATGGAGCCATCTGTTGCACGGGAAGAACACGAAGAATCGTTGGAACCAATCACAGGGAACTCCCTTCAACGTCGCCGGTATTGCCTTTACATGAATGAGGGCGATGTATTACGGGCGGAGAGGGGTGAAGCAACCACTTCACAACAGCAGCCGGTGATAAAAAAGGCTAATCCTGCTCCGATTGGGTTGCTTGGTTTTGGCATGTCAACGATTCTTCTCAACCTACACAACACTGGGCAGTATAACCTGACGACAGCGGTGATTGGAACGGGAATCTTCTACGGTGGGTTGGCGCAAATTATTGCGGGAATACTGGAGTATTTACGTGGAAATACGTTTGGCTATGTGGCGTTCGTGTCTTACGGCTGTTTTTGGCTCTCGTTGGTTGGCGTGTGGCTGCTACCCAACAATAGCAGAGATGAAAAACAAATACCATTTTCCACAGATTCCTATTTTCTTGGAGTTTACCTGTTACTTTGGGGAATCTTTACCCTTGCCATGTTTCTCTGCACATTGCGGACCAATGTGGCTCTCATGACAATTTTTTTATCTTTGACCATACTTTTTGCGTTGTTGGCTGCTGGTAACATGTCGGGTTCATCCACAACGATAAAGGTTGCTGGATTTGAAGGCATTTTCTGCGGCATCTCAGCGTTTTATTTGGCCCTTGCAGAAATTATCAATGAAACCTACGGCCATGAGTTATTCCCCGTTCTACCCGCAGAGAAACTCTACAGCACGCGCAAATCACAATCAGGTAAACAGCCCGTACCACCCGTTTGATTGAGCTGTGATGAAGAGGAGACAAATGAATAAAGTCTAATGCTGTTTTAATCAATACGTCTAGCATTTTTTTTTTTTTCCCGTGCAGTGTTTTTTGTCTTTTCGAATTATTTTAATGTGTGGAATGTAACTTTGTTACCTTCCCGTTATCTTTTTATCTCGTCTTCTTCTCTTGTCTCCTGCATGTTATTGTTATTGTTTTGTGTGTGTGTGTGTTTTTTTTTTCTTTACGCCAACAACGCGTCTTTCTTCTATGCAACGACAATAAATGTTGTTTTTCTCTTAATGTGTGTTCAAAAGTTTGTAGGTATAACTTTTGTTGTTGTATGCAAGTGTTTAGAATGGGAGCGCATGTATTTTATTTTATTTTTATTTTCCTGGTTTTTGGAAATTTGGTTGTGTGTCGCTGGGGTAGAGGTAATATCCCAGACCTCTCCGGCGTGCTTCTTTATTTTTTTTTTTTCTTCTTTTTTTTCTTCTTTTTTCTGTTTTGTGTCGGTTGTGACGCGGGGCAAATGCTGGGGCGTGGGATCGCACTCTCTCTATGGAGGCTTGTCTTCAGCTTTCGTGGATTAGTTTTGTTTTTTGTTTTGGTGTCGTGTTTTGCCAACATCGTGCTGGTGGCAAAGTGATATTTGTTCTCACAATGAGCGTGGTGCCGGCAGTGAGGGGGCTCACTGACGCGGAGGTGATGGAGCCTTCTCACTTTGCGCGGGAGAGTTCGGACGATACAAATGGTGATGGGACCCCGCAGCCGTTGCCGTTGCAGCTGCGCGGGGACTCGTGGAGGTATATAGTGGGCTTAACATTTTGCATTATATCCGTTTCGAACGCCATGCAGTGGATCACGTTCTCCGCAATCGTGGAGGAGGTTCGCGCGTATTTCAATATGAGTGCTGTGCAGGTGAATTATTTAGCCACGACGTACGTTATTGCCTACGTATTGATCGTTTTTTTGAGCTGCAAGCTTTACGAAGTAACTGGGTTGAAAGTTGGTGTTGTGATTGCCGCCTCGACAAATGCCATTGGATCTTTAATTAAACTTCTTGCACTTTACGTATGGCCAAACATGGTTCTATTGTATATGGCGCAGGTTTTTAATTCCGTCACAGAGGTCCTTACAATTGCCACCCCGCCGCTCATTGCGAATCGTTGGTTCCCAGAAGGCCAACGCATGGTCGCCAACACCGTATTGAGTAGCGCCCTCAATTTCGGTTGCGGTATTGGGGTGTTGATTCCAACTTTTTTTGTTACACCGGAGAAGCAGGAGCGAAGGCATTTAGCGCACTTGTTTTGGTTTCAGTTTGCAATATGCAGTGGCGCACTCATTATGGCTATTTTTTTTGTTCCCTTGCGTCCTCGTTACATGGCAAGTTACGCCGCAGCACGACAACAAGAAAATGAGGCGAAACACTTGGAGGTCCTCAGAGGCATTGTGCGACGTCGCAAGGGACGAAGCAAGCGCGAGCGAGTTCAGCAACGGCACGAAGGTCAAGAAGGACAAGGGGAGGGGGGGACTGTTGTCTGTGATGAACATGGCGAACAGGACGTGCAATCTATCAATGTGTTTTCCACCATCAAGGATGCTCTCCACATGCTAAAGGATAATTCTTCCTTTGTGTTTCTCATGATTGCTAGTGCGGCCGAACTTGGTCTTATATGGGCAGTCGCCACAGTACTACCTCAGTGTTTAAGTCCGTTTGGTGTGTCAGAGGTAGAGAGTGGATGGATTGGATTTTCAAATCTTGTCCTTGGCACAGTCGTGGCACCGTTTCTTATGCACCTTGTTGAGCGTAATCGCCGGTATAAAACAGTGCTTGTCTCCATTGCCATGATCCTCACTCTGAATATGTCTGTCTTGGTCCTCTCTCTGGCGTTTGGGCCACCTCCGCAGGATAATCGTAATTATTATGTCGTGGTGGCGTTCGTTCTGTGGGGCGGTGTGGCAGGTCTTTGTCAAAACTTTATGATGCCGCTTATGTTTGAGTTTGTTATTGAGCTTACCTTCCCAATGGCAGAATCCACAAGTGCCCCTGTACTGACCTGGGCGGCATGCCTATCAAACCTTATTTTAACTATTGTGTTTGGTGAAATGCTTGGAGATGCTCCCACGCGGGGTGAGGCAGTGAATGTTTTTATAGGGGCAACAGTTGTGTGCTTTTTGGGTGGCATTGCACTCTTGTTGGTGTACCCATACCGAAGACGATGCGAGTATGAACTTCTCATGAAGGAGAGGGGTGAGAGAATGTTGGTCGCCGCAGCCGCAGCTTGAGATGGCAGCAAGGTACACGAAGGGTTGTGAAGGTGACTTTGAAGAAACAGGAAACGGGAATGCAATATTGAAAGTAGTTGATGATACATTTTTTTACTTTGTTTCTTCTTTAGTATATGTGTGCAAGTGTTTGCAGTAGCGCGTGGTGCAGTGACTTTGGGTGGGCACTGGTGTTGTACTTCTTTACACTGACACATGGTGAGAGCTAAATACAAATGCAGCACTTACCTCTCACAGAAATAAGCCGGTTTTTGAGGAAGCGAAATATTGACAGGCCCAACAAAAGAGGGCTGGGTATACAGATACAATAGGTATGGATGTGTACACCTCTCTTTTCTCCTTTTCTTGATTTGGGTGCGTGTTAATTGTTCTCTTTGGTTATACCGTGTATCGGTTTTTATCGGAAATTACTACCCTTACAAGGGATAAATCAGGCCCTTGTGTGAGCAGGATTGACGATGATCTAGTTCCCCTGCTCGCCTTGACACGGTCAGAAAAGTCACTTGGGAGTGCTGGAGAGGGCTTGTCGTTACCGCATCGCCAAGCATGGAGGGACATGTGAAATGTTTTGACTTCAATATTTCTGTTTTTTTTTTTTTGCCAGAATCTTCGTCCTTTTTTTTTTGACTTGTTTATTATTGTTGTAATGATTTCCCCTTATTTTTCATGTGGGGCAAAAGTAAGCTTTTTATTTATCTTTTTTTTTCCTTTTTCTTTTGGCGTGTGCGTGCAGGTGAGTGGGGTATAACTGTTTCCGTTGGATGTGATGTTTTGGGGATTGTTATTTCTCTTTTCTCGTTTTATTGTTTTTATTTGCTTTTGTTTTTGACTTCTTTGCGCTTCACCACGCAGTGTTGCCTTCTGCAGTGAAGGGAACCGTTGGTACAAGTTGTTTTTCCCCAGGCAGTGCGTGACGGCAAAGTGCCGTATGCCCCACGTATTATTCTCCTCCCTTCCCCGCATGGCGGTAGAGGTGTTGCGGCACGACGAGGCGTTGCGCAGTGAGGAGCAAAAAAGGGACGAGGGATGCCCTGAGAGGATTGCTCAAAGCAGCGACATGGATTTCTTCATGGACGAATACATGTGCCCAGATGCTGCGACAAAACGTGCCGCAGCTGCTCATAATTTTGTCGCTGCTGAGGAGACGATGAACCCACTGGGGGGCATGGCGCAAGCCACGCGAACTCGCAAGCGGGCCCAAGACCGTCTCACTGTCGACTGTGACGTTTGTCTGCAGCTTCGTGGAACAACTGGCGAAACTGGTGGGGTGAACTTTCGCATTCGAGTCCCAGCGGCGCTGCCAAGGTCCAAGCTCTCTGCATCCTCTGTTGTTTACCCCATCAATGATTCCACAACGCCCCACGTGAAAGAAATGTGTGACATAAAGACAAAATTGGAGGTGGAGGAGGCAACTGCACTCGACTCTGGTGCCGCTTGGGCTGGACATTCTGAGAGTTGGATGAGAGATGGGGTATCAGAAGAAGAAGAAGGGGTGTGTGTGGCTGCGGCAGACTCTCCTAGATATGCAGTTAACAGCAATACTCAGCATGAATCGGTAATAACAAAAACAATGTTTATGCCAACCAATGACAGTGAACGTTTACTACATGCAGGTGATTTCACGATTACTGTTTCTTCTGAAGAAAACGAAGGAGGAGCAGGAGGAGAAGGAAACGTGGTGTATGCGATGAAACTTCCACCCAGCTTCGTGTTTGGCCTGCGGCTACCCTTTGAGGTGGAGAGAGCCCTTGTGGATTGGTACCGGGAGAACATGACATCATCTATACCATCACCCGCATGGCTTTCTGCCTTCTTGTATACAACGACTCTGCGTTGTCACACGTTTGCCACCTCCATTTCCACCCTTTCCCACTCGACGTGTCGAGAAAAATTGGAGGAAACAGCGGCAGTGGCGACACTAGAAGGCTTCTGCATTGTGGCTCTCAATATCATGGCTCAAATGGGGCAGCTGCACCGACAACAACTTCAGGAAGCAGACAACATTGACGAAACAACAGCGGCTCAGTGTAGTTTATTGCACGACAATGCTCTATTTTCTGCTTCACAGCAGGAACGCGTGCGACGATGGCTGCAACGGTATATTCCAATGGAGGCCTATGACGGAAACGAAGAAGGTGAGACGACATTACGAAGAGCACAGGGTGGTGTTCGTTGGCCCTCCGCGGTGACAATAGCCTTTTACATAGCGTTGGACCTGGCCAAGGTTTTGTTCCCTCCTTTGTTATTGAATCTGGAGTCCACAATCCTTGCTGCTCTGCAGCCACTACTTGAGGCACGCTCGGTGGGGTCGATGCTGGCACCTTCCCCTTATGTATCTTGTTCTGCTGTTTCTTTTTTTGCTCCGTCGCTGCAACGTCCACGGAGTCGCAGACAAGCCGTGATGTTATTGACGCAAGCACCATCTGCGTGGTGGGGATGGTGGCGTCAAAAAGACGGTGAGGAGAAGAGCAATAACGGCTGCGGCATCAGCGCTGTTTCTGCGTCAAGGGGGTATGCTGCTCTTCGCGTCTTGCAATGTTTTACCTTCATTGGCTCGCAAGCAGGACTAGATGAAACTTGTGGGTACGTGGACGAAGAGGAGGACTCGGAAGCGGCACAGTTTCTTCTTTCATCTGTGGCGCTATTTACGGAACTACTTCTGGACCGTGAGGTCATCAACACGCTGGAACGCGCCACGAAGGAAATCACTCGGCTCTACCACTTGTCTTTAGAGAGACCTAATGGCAAGGAGGCAGCTGCGTTGTCGTTGCAGGCAACACAAGCCATGATGCGTTGCTTTATTGTGCTTGTCTGCTGGTTGGCTTTCCGTCCTGGAGGGTATTGCACAACATTTGCCCAACAACATTTTGGCTCGCTGTTACACCTCGCCGCGTTGCACCACGAACGGCATCCGCCAATGCATATTCGGCGCACACAACTTGAAGAAGGTGGGGAAAACTTGGACTGTACACAGTTGCTGCTGACGCTTTGCAGCCAGGACTACTTTTCTTCACTCTCCGCCTTGTTTTGCCGTCTGCGTGACCGATGTGGGGCCCGGCGTTGCAGAGGCCATTACGCATACGCAACACCGGGAAATCCATGGCGGCAGCTGCGGCAAGGCAAGATGCCCAGCTGCCTATTTCCAACTGATGAGGACCGGACGACAAGCACATCATACAGTCATTATTCCGTGACATCCTTCAGCTCCACTAATGCCGCGCCGGAAGTTGTGCTTGTGCCTCAGATGTCAACAATGCAAAGTCATACGACCATTCTTGGTGACGATGCTGTTCCGTCTCATGTACTTCATAATCTTCGTCGTGCCATTCGTGAAATTCGTCCCGTTCTTCGTCAACTTGAGCGGGACGTGTTTGCGAAGTACGAGGTATCGGCCCCAACTTCGCTTGGCATCAAACGACAGCGCGAGGCGGAGGACGCCGTGTCTTCACCTTCGCAGCGTTGCGATGGTAGACTGCAACTAAGCGTATCACCCCAGTTTGCACGTCATGTGTACAATCATTCACACAGCCGTTTCTGGGAGCGGCACTTGGAATGCAGCGAACCCAGTGACGACGATGAAACGGACACCTCCGGCAGCGGTAGTGAATGACAGAGAGAGATGCATCTACACAGAAAAGAGAAAATGATGAGAAAAAGTCTAGAGCAGAGTTTTTTTTTTTTTTTTGTTGTCTTGTTCCTGTGTATTTTTAATGCTTGTGGAGGGAAGACGCCCTAAATGTTGGGCTTGTTGATGAAACGTTGGGGCTATACATAAATACATAAACACATACGCATCTATCAATCCATGTAGTTGTGATGTCTTTTTTGCTATTTTTGTCTTTTCTCCTTTACAGAAGTATATACATATGTACACATGGTTGTTTTGGTTTTTTTGTGACAACCTGGGCCCAAATATATATATATATTAATTTATTTATTGCTCATGTTATTTCTTCTCTTTTGTGGCTCTTGCGCGTGTGTGTTTATCACTCACGTCAGGGCATTTTTGGTTTAATTTGGTTCTGGCCTTCGTTTCGGTGCGTGCGTCTTTGCGCTTCAGCGGTGTGCCTACAGAGTGGAATGAGGCTTCACTTTGGTGCGCACGATGGTAACAGTGACGTGGGGGATGGCTGTACCCATCCCATGTTTTTATCCTGGTTTTTGTTCTTTTGCTGAGCAGTCTTCTCATGACTATATTCCCCCTTTTTCCCCTCTCGTCGCGTCTCTCCTGTTGTATCTGCCGCTATTGAATTTGCAAAGGCATTCCGTGAGTAGTAGTGATGGACGCAAAGGTTGACACGAACGACACGCTGGCTTGCACTTATGCCTGCCTTATGCTCAACGATGCGGGTTTGCCCATCACGGCGGAGAGCATCGAGGTTGCGTGCAATGCGGCGGGTCTGAAAGTGCGCAACACCTTGCCCATTCTTTTTGCCCGCTTTCTTGAAAAGAAGCCACTGGAGAGCCTCTTCGCCGCCGCTGCCGCGAAGGCCCCCGCCGAGGGTGCTGTAGCTGCCGCTGCGGCTGGCGGTGCTGCTCCTGCTGCCGCTGCCGCCGCCCCTGCAAAGGAGGAAAAGGAGGAGGAAGAGGACGACGATGATATGGGCTTTGGTCTCTTTGACTAGGCATGTGTTTCTTTGAATAAAGGACAAACAACTCGTGGATGCCGATTTGCACCTTTTTTCCTTGTTGCACTGTATTTTCTCATATTTTATTTATTTTGAAGCATACTGTGTGTATATTTGGGGTGCGATGCGCCCTCTGGTTCTCTTATTGCTGCCTTTATTATTATTATTATTATTTTTTGCAACTGTATACGTGCTTCCTTCGCTACATTATTTGCTTTTTTTTTTGTTTGTTTTGCTTTCTTTCTTTTGCAGATCTCATTCGTGTGTTCACTCACTCAGAGAGGATCCATGGACGCAAAGGTTGACACGAACGACACGCTGGCTTGCACTTATGCCTGCCTTATGCTCAACGATGCGGGTTTGCCCATCACGGCGGAGAGCATCGAGGTTGCGTGCAATGCGGCGGGTCTGAAAGTGCGCAACACCTTGCCCATTCTTTTTGCCCGCTTTCTTGAAAAGAAGCCACTGGAGAGCCTCTTCGCCGCCGCTGCCGCGAAGGCCCCCGCCGAGGGTGCTGTAGCTGCCGCTGCGGCTGGCGGTGCTGCTCCTGCTGCCGCTGCCGCCGCCCCTGCAAAGGAGGAAAAGGAGGAGGAAGAGGACGACGATGATATGGGCTTTGGTCTCTTTGACTAGGCATGTGTTTGGACCAGGCGTCTCTGTGTGAGTACCACGATGCTGAATCTGTACCACCACTGGATTTTGATTTTCTTCGTTTTTATTTGCTGCTGTTAGGGGTTACTATTATATTTTGGTGGAGGCTTGTTTTCTGTTTCTGCTTTTGTTGCTGTGCCGCGCTTTCTTCTTTCTAAAGACATGTCTTTTTTTTTTTTTTTCCTTTTTTGCCCGTGCTCTCACGCGCCATGATTGCGGGCTCCCCGTGCGAGTGTTCTCCAAGTCGCCCCCTGCGAGGTCAAAGTAGCTTTTCCGAAATATTTCTTTGTTATTTTTCAGGCATTTATTTATATGGTGGTGTAGGTGGGTGTGTGTGGGAGGGATATTCGCTGCTTGCGCACCTGTATACCACCTGTCTGCCGTACCGAGTTGAGGGGAGCCACATACAGACACAGACATGCAGCACGTGAGACGCTTGGAGGAATGTATCAAACGCTGCCAAGACGACATGGAGCACGCAGCCGCCGCTGTGGAGAAATACTATGGCAGCTCCATTGCGGAAAATGGCTCGGCGTGGCAACTGTGGCAAGCCCTCGAGACTGACGGGGACGCTTTAGTGCACGCACTGGCAGTGTGTGATACATTTATTCATAGCCGTCACTTTTGCGTGATGTGCCTCTTCTCCCAAGGGAACGAAGTGTTGTCACAACTGCAACATGCAAAGCAGCGACTTTTTCGGTGTTTCCGATCCATTGCGTCCAAACATGAGAAAAAAGCAGTAACAACCGAAGTTCCTTGTAGTAGTACAGATGCGAGTGGGTTGGCAGCTATTGCCAAACTTGTGGAAGGAGCCCCAACACTTCTCCGTGAATTGCAAGAGCGGGAGCAGCAACTTATTGACAACGCTTTGCTGATTAAGGAGGACCTGCTTCATTCGTTACACGGAACAGGCGATGTCATGATTGAATTTCAGGGTCAGAAAGAAGTTCGTCTCGAAGGAACAACACCTGAATCGCTGCTCCATATCTTCCCATTGCTTCCGGAGCATGTGTGGAAGGGGACGGATGGAAGTGCAGCTCCAACAACGTTGAAGGATGGTCACGGCGTTGTGTCATCGACGTCGCAGGAGGCCACAGATACAATTTGGACGGACTTGCGGCTGATGAACATGCTCCTTAAGAGCGCCTTTACCGCAGCTGCCTGTAAACACCAATTTGCGGCTGCCTACGACTTTGCCTTGGTGACGAAGCTGCTCCTCACGAAATGCTACACTGCGGAGGAGTTGCTAATGATCGTTTCATCGCTGGGGCCTGGCAGATCAGGGTATTTTTCCTTGCGACACAATGTAGAAAGTTTTGAAAGGACAAATTCCCCATGGGTTACTCTGATGTTGTCCAAAATACACACCAACGTCTCGCCCAAAGAGGCCTTTTTGGCATGCGATGATTCGACACCATCATATTATGTTTATCTCATCTTTGCCTCGTTGGTTTGGAACACCGCCTTTTGTTTTTGGCAGAAGGGTTGTGTGAAGGAGGCACACCAGTGGTTGTGCGAGGTTGACGTGGAGAGGCTCCTTGTTCTTGCAGACGCGAAAGAAAAGGAGGATGAGAACGCAGATGTGAATGGCATGTGCGGTCTACGTACGCGGCGTCACGTCATGCGGTGTTGCGACCGGGCCTCCTTTGGGGCATGCATGAACCCATTTGTCCCTAGTGAGCCAACCCACGTAGGTGAGAGCCGTACTCCAAAAGAAGAGCAGGAAGAGTCTTACACTGCACCACAGCTTCATCAGCTTCTGCGCCGTATTGCAGCTTTGCGTGACTTGTGTGCCATGTTGCTTTTCTGCACCACTCCACAAGATTTTTTGTTTGTTATTCTCCAGCTGCATAATACACTTCGATGGCAAGCGCATTGTAGGTTGCACCACGACGACACTGTGTGCGCAGGCGGAAACGCCCGAGTAACCGGACGGTCGCAGTCCGGTGCAACAGCTGATATACTGATGGTGGCAATGCTAATGGTAGAATATTACCTTACTCAACAAGCGATGGCAACGGTGGACTCGTCTGCCGCATCAGGTGCTTTCTCGCCTGTGACTGTCCATGAGGCAGTGCAGCAGGTGTGCAATGAGCTGATCACTTTCCTTAGCTTGGGGAAATTCTTGAGTGTGGAAGACATGGAACAGCGTGGCATTCCTCCCTCGTGGCACGTTCAGTACGATGTCGACGACGAGCGTGTTTTGCTAGGGGATGAACTTGAAAAGGCAATGAGGCCGCCGTGGCTCTCAGTGCAGGTTCTTGGCATGACGCAAGCCTTTGCCTCCGGATTCGAGGGTAATATATTTTACCAATGTGCCGTGAAGTCCCGTGAAACAAGGGAGGCAAGAGGGGGTACAGCTAAGTCAGCAGAAAGGCGATCGTCATGGTTAGCTTCTCTTGCCAATATTATGCAGAGTGCATCTCGGTTGATCACTAAAGGTCTTGATAGCTCGTGGGAGGAGGGTGAAGAGTCTGAAACTTTGAGGAAATCCTCTTCCTCAGATAGTGAACTGCGTGCAAGTCTGTTGGTACCTCAATGCTCCAAGGAAAATAAATATTCTTGGACGAACCGAGGACCAGGTGTTCTTTGGCTTCCGTCTTTGCATGGCGTTGGCCTACAGCTATTAGCGGAAGAAGAGGTGGTTGAGGGCCCGTACAAAAACGTTGATGATGTGGCATGGCGATTGCTGGTGATTGCATGCCGATATAGCAACTCTCAGTCGCTCGTGCCGTTGCTGTCGCATGACAGCACGCATAGTACTGGCGGGATCCTTGAGATTGTAATCCCGGAACTCAACAATGCCGTGAGAATTTTAATGAATGAACTGATTAATCGCGTCGGGGATGATTGGTGGCCTCTGTGGCATCAGCATAGCAAGTTAAGTGCGGGTCGTACACGCATCTGTAAACTGCTGGAAACACTGGAGCGAGGGGCGTACATGTCAGTGATGGAGACTGATCCGCAACGTGCCGCTTCAGATGGTGAAACCCAAAAGAACAGGGCCACACAGCCAGCTGAGGTATCAAGGAAGAGTCAAAATATAGTGGAGGAGCATAACAGCGAGGCAACGGAATTCGTGTCTGAGTTGTGGGATTTACCATCTTCAGCGTATGTCCCACCCATTCAGTTTGACTTCTCGGCTTTTGTTTCTGGTTCCACATCTGTATTCAGGGAAACGCAACAACTTGTTGATAGTCTTTCACGCCGACAGGAAGAGGCAGATAAAGCCGCTTCTACTGGCAGTGAGGCAGTGATTGAGAGTAACAATCAGTACCTAACTATCCTCACTACAAAGTCGCGAAAGCTTCTTCACGAAGCGTTGCCGGCCATATGGCAATTTATGCCCTGGAGACTTCTATACAGCAGTCGCTTTCATGGATTTAGTTTTACCAACATGCTGTCCTGTAGTCAACGAGAGGTTGATAACGCACAGAGGCGGGAAAAGATGCCACCCATGCTTATTGTAATGGAGGTCATGAGACCAGCCCGAGCACCAACTAAAGATGACGCAGAGGGGCCTGTGAAACTTTTGATTGGGGCATGTTTATCACATCCTTTGCATATTGGGGCACATCGATTTTACGGCAACAATGATACATTTGTATTTCAGCTGCTAATTCCCCCAAAGCCGGCATCTACGGAGTTGCGTATGTATCGTGCCACAGGGGCAAACCAACGATTCATCAACACAACGTCACGTTCACTTGCGATTGGAGGGGGTGGGGGGTGTAGTATTTTTCTCAACAACACTGTAATGCACGGTTCCACTGCAGCCTGTGCCACGTTTGGGGCCCCACCTCTCACACAGTGGCGCACACCATGCTTTTTGTTGTCATGGTCCTCTGATAGCGCTTCTGCGGAAAACTCAGGGGGGACGATAGAAGATGTTGCGAAAAGCTACACTTTTGATATTTGCTCAATAGAGCTTTTTGTAGTTGAGAAACGAAGAAAACAGTAGTTTCAGTTGATTATATACAAATGGTTTAAAATCTGCATATTCAAATTCTCTTTTTGTTTTTTGTCATGCTTTGTGGTTTCTGTGTATTTTTTTTTTTTTTTACGCCTACGAACGATTCAACGGCGACTGACTGGGGTGAAAATTAGTCATTTTTGTCTTTGTTTGTTTGTTTTTTTATTTCCATTTTTTTTTGTTTTTGCTTGTTTGTTGTGTCTGCCGTAGGGCCTGTGACGCGCCTGAACAAATGTCTCTGGTCCTTTTACGCATCCCGTGCTTGCCTCTCTTTTTCACTTTTTTTTTCCGCCAGGCACATAACACGCATCAAGGCTTCTTTGGTAGGCGAGGGAGGGAGAACTCAGGGACGGGAACAGGAACACACCGGCGAAGCGACAAGAAGAAAGAAGAAACGAACGGTACGATCATAGAAATTTGGAAAAAAAAAGTGTCTTTCGTAAGGTCGAAGAAAGAAGAAGAAAAGGAAGGACACCCATTTTACTTTTACTGTTGTATCCACAGTGTCGCGTGTAAACATCTACAGGCGCATCACCTTCCAAGTATATATATATATATATATACAACCGCGTGGGCAAAATACATTGCACAAAAAGAAGGGATACAAAATTCGAATAGGTGCATCCTCTTTGTACGCTTCCAGACTACCTCTAGATATCCATCGTTCTTGGTTCATTTAAAGCTCAACATTACCCCCTGACAAGCCCCACCACCAGCCCTACGTTGCCGTTGCGGGAGGGAACGAATATCGGAGCAAAAAAAAAAGAAAGAACGACAAGAAGAAAAATATATATATATATTCTTGTAACCCGAGGCATAAAGGCGTGTGTGCCTATTTTTTTTTTTTACAGATTATTATTATTTTGTTGTGCCCGTGAGTGTGTAAGATTTGCTGGTGTTCATTTCCCACACTGCGAGAGGCGTTGAAAGAAAACGATGACAATTATGGATACCACTGTGTCTGCTTCCGCTGCGACTTCGCGACAACATTTGAACCGTACGGCTACCCTGCGTCCATGCGGTGATAGCAGCAACGGTGGAAGACATCAAACGGATCGCCATGAGGCGTGTACCCACCATGAGCTGACCCTGCCGCCGTTTACACTACAGAGTTCGGGTGAGAGACCGGGCAACAACGCCCCACAGCCACCTATTCTGCTTCTCTCGCGCCGATGCCGTCAGGATCCGGCGGTAATGCGTCTGCGGGCTGACTTGGCACTTAGAGAGACGTCGAGCTCTGGGAGCGTAATCTCAGAACCGCAAGCAGCTTTGTCGGAAGCAGTCAACTCAGCTGTAACTCCAAAAAAAAGGTTCTCCCTTGGCTATGACGATGATGCAGCTCTTCCTCCTTTCTCCATACCAGAATATGACTCACGAACCTTTTCTTTGCAAGGTGAAAAATCTCCGGTATCATCATCAGAGATATCTTCAACCTTATTGACATCGGGAGGTGAGAGTAGTGCTGCATCATCGGAAACGGAGATTACGGTTACAGCGAAGAACCACACTTCTACAAAATGCTACTGGATATCAAGGCAGCCGCAGGGATTAGAGGAACGACATGAAGGGTCGTTTGAACCGGCGCACGAAGAAGAAATTAATAAAGGTCTGCAGACTTTGCCGTTTGACTTTGACCAGAAATCAGCTACACTCCAAGAAACGGAGAGTGGTATGAGCAACAGCGAGAGTTGCGTCCGTGGTGTGCCCACAGCTTCTTCTTCTGCTGCTTGGGAAACAGACGAGAGCAAAGCAAACACTGATGAAGACGAGGAAGACACCGCCTTATCGCACCACGAGGAGGACGAGGTCTTGGGCGTTACAGCAGAGGGAGAGTTTATCTATCGACGAGACGTCGACGCGGAGCGGAGTCGTTTGGGTAAAGCAAACTACAAATGTTATCAAGATAGCTGCTGGCTTCTGGATGGACATGGCGATGACGAGGCGTCATGTATGCTTGCTCCTGCAGCTTCGTTTTGTACACCGGAGAAAAATATATTTGCTACGGGTCTCAGTAGCAGGGCACGTATGTCACACCGACACGGAGAAGAGGTCGGTGCTCGGAGAAACATGACCGCCACATCATCATCAACACCGTTGCAGTTAAGTGCGGTACTGCCCCAACGGCGTTCTATCGGTGCAAGCAGGCAGCGAAAAACTCGAAAGTGGGCAACAAGTGATGTGGAGTGGTGTTCTCTTTTATTGCAATACCGCACATGCGAAAACGCGGATGAGATGCAATACAAGGAGTTGGTGGGTGCAGTGGATAGCTGGCACGAGGCGCAGCGTCGTTACCATCTTGAAGCATTAGAGCAACGTTTGCTGGAAGAAGACAGTTATGAGAGGCCCCCGTTTATTCTCCGGTGGTAATTGTTTGGGAAGGAGACACAGAGGAGCCATGCAGCACAGAGAGGCAGAAAAAAAAAAAGGAAGAGGAAAAGAAAATTAGAGCTCCGTCCTTTTTTTTCTGTGTGTGCTCGCAGCTGTCCTCCTTTTACTTCCTTTTTTTTCCCCCTCCTATCTTTTTTTTTGTGTTTTTACTTTTCCACGTGTTTCATGTTATCTTTTTTTTTTTATTGTTTGAAGTCCTGCAGGGTGGTGGGAGGGTGGTGTTTTGGGTTTGCCCACTTCCGTTCATGCACGGACACAACCGCGGCTACTACTGCAGGATCAAACACTTAACACGCTTGTCCCACCCTTTGTTAATTTATTTGTTTCTTTGGCAACTGCTGCTGCTGCTGCTGCTGTGTGTGTGTGTGTGTTTTACTTTTGATGCAGGCACATTTTGGCGCATGACTGCTTTTTTTCCGCCACCGCCCGTTTCCAGAACGGTGCCATTACCCGCCGCCGCATTTGCTCGCCCTCCTCTGCTTGCGGTGGTCATTTGTTCTCTTTTTCCTGCCCACATCCTCGCGTTGTGTTGTTTCCTTTTCTCACACCTCTTTTTTCTGTTGTGATCGATGCTTGTTGCCGGCGGCCATTTCCCTGCCACCACATCTCCGCTTTTCTCTTGTGCGCGGGGATCGGGGGTTGAACAAGGGGGGCGAGGAGGAAACACCACGGGCGCCGTGGGAATTAGAAAAAAAAAGTGGCGAAGCCGGGGTTGAGAGAACAATGCGAGCCGGAGCGAGGGAGCGTGCATTCAATTAATTTTAATAGACATCGCATTCATTACTTTTTTGTTTCTTATTTAACATTGCGCCGATTCTTTTTTTTTGTTTTATTTCCGTGTTGGTATTATTTATTATTGTACATTTTTTTTTTCTTTTATTGTTGCCTTTTCGTTGGCACCGGAGCTTTTCACCGTTGATGACGTTGACGATGATGCTCCACTACGGCGAGGGGCGAGAATAAACAGTCTTAACCGTGATTGGGCGAAAGGAATGGCTGACAAAAACTGCTGAGAGACAAACGACGATGCAACACACACACACACACACACACACACATACTACGCACGCAGTAAATTATGCAGCTGTTTCTCTCTTGCTCGGTATTGTGCATGTACTCCTTAAGGTTGTGTGTGTCGTATTATTTACGGGCGGCGTGTGAAGTAGATGAGATGAAACTAAAAAAAAAAAAAAAAAACGATAACAAAAAAAACAAGATTCACCCACTATTTTTATTTTTTTGTGACATATATAGAGAAAATGGTTTGGGAAGCGAAACAAAAGAGGATAACGATGGATGAAAAACTGAAAAAAAAACAGGAAACCCGAAATGACCACATAAAAAAAAAGGTGCAAATGGGCTGTTAGAATTAACCTCTGGCCATCCAGAGTGGTGGGAATGGGGTCAATAGAAGGTTTGTGGTTTTGTTTCTCGAGGGGTAAAGTGAAGAGGGAAAAAAGGAACCCTGTTTTGTATGTTACTTATTTCCTCAATTGTTTTTTTCTCTGGTGGAACCGGTACTTTTGTGTGCTACTTATTATGTTTCTTGTGGGGTCTCCAGGCTTTTCTATGTGTTTTTTTTTGTATCATTTTTTAGGTTTTCTCTTCTGCGCATCTTTTTTGTCTCTGAATTCTTTTTCTTTTTTGTTTTGTTGTGAGTGGCGGGGATTTGATTTGTGGTGACGCGGTGCGCTGCTGCTTCCTTTTTTTTGTTTTTTGTTTTTTGTTTTTTGTTTGTCTTGTTCGACGGTGACAGACAAGCATACAGGGAGTACGAGAGCGAGAGAGCACAAGAGAATCGCGGCGTCACGGGCTTCATTAGGGATGGGATGAGAGGGCCGCTCAGCATCTTTTTTTTTTTATATATATATATGTATGTGTTTTTGTGTTTTACTTTCTCCTCTTTGTTTATTTCTCATTCCTCGTGCAGTTAATACTTATATAAGGGGCGTTTCGATATATATATATATATATATATATATATA